ATGGCCTATGTATAAAACACATCTTTTTCAATATTTTTTTTAAAGTAATTTTTTTCAACCGTTGTTTATTCGGAAGTAGGCATGGATATTTATATATTTATATATTAAAAAAAAAAAGGTGCCTTCACAATTGTTCACTATAAAGAAATCTTTCACGTAATATTTGCCCACTAAAAAATATATAATATACATAATTGTTTGAAGTCAGAGAAAGTGTGGTCCAAGAAAAAATACACGTTTCCTGTTAGCCCAACCAACCTAGAAAAGCCTGTAGGACCGAAAACAAAAATTTGTATTGGGAAATAAAAATGCTGTGCTACCCCAACCCTAGACATTGTCCTTCATTTTTGAATTTTTTTTTTCATATTTTTTATAAGTTGGTCTGCAGTGCAGTTTTGCCACGCTGTGAGCGAAGCCTATGGAGTACCGAAGTGTACTGTAGTTCAAACGAATGGAGTACGCGCGCATGTTGGTTCACAGTCCGAAACATGCGCTAATGCTTTTGACACACATTTTGTGCGCGTGATGTATTCACTTCGGTACTCCATAACACAGTGCAGCAAATGCTGAGAATGAACAGTTGATTGACATGTTTACCATTACGAATGCATGCAAAGAAAGAATATTTCACCCACCCAGCCTATATTTGTTTTCAATGTAATAGGAAACGCAACATTTTTTTTTCTTGGCCTAAAAGTAGGTTGGAAGCTGGTTTAATGAGTGATTTGGGAATGGAGTAATGGACATTAAACATTGCAATAGAGTCTGTGCACGACCAACAAATGGCGCTATTTAGCCTTCCCAGAAAGGGCCAATGAAATACACTACAGCGCGTCCCAAAATACCTGCAACATTTTTTTACGAGGCTCTAGTGTCGCCGCAGAAACCTGTACCGCCATTATTTTTATATCATTTTAAAGCTTGGAATCTTAACTTTATCCCTGGTAAGTGTCGGTTTGATTTTCAAAAGGGGTTTGAACTTATTCGTGTTCAAATAAAGGCATGTAAAAAACTCAACCGATTTCAAGGAAAATCAATCATGCACATTTTTCTGATGTGGAAATGCTTAATGTTCATGATGTGACAATCTCGTGGCCTTTACTTCTTTTATGTTTCCTTTTCTGTTCGATCCACGTAGACTACAACTTAAATAAATTCACAACATTGTTCTTCGTTTCAAGTTCCATGTGTTTTTAACATCAATCAACTGGTCTTTTTCGTTACTTCAACAGCTTGTTGGCTCGAGTTTGCATCTGATGTACCGCATCTTCAATTTTCCTTGAAATCGGTTGTTTTCAACATGCTTTAATTTGAACACGAATAATTTTAAAACTCTTTTAAATATCAAACCAATACTTACCAGGGATAAAGTTCAGATTCCAAGCTTTAAAATGGTATAATAATAATGGCGGTACGTGTTTCCGCGCCGACGCTAGAGCCTCGCAAAAAAAAATAGTTGCGGGTATTTTGGGACGCGCTGTGTGAGTGTGACATGCAGTGCACGTATCAAAATTTCAAGTGAAGGCAAACAAACCCGTAGCGTCTTTGCATAATAAGCTTAACACTTTTGAATGCATATGTAACATGGAATTCAAATGTATTACCAGTAACATAGGCTTAATTTGTTTTCACTTTCGAGTGTGCATTTATGCACGGAGCTTAACGCCAACAGTAAACCCAAACCACTTCAAACCAAGATTTTAGGGCTGTCCATTTCAGAATAATTTGGTATTCGATTACTCGACACTGCACTGGACCGAATATTCGAAACTGACAGCTGCAACTGCGTGATGTACCGGTAAAAAGTTGCGCGAAGAGTGTGCCGATTAACATTTGCGTGCGGCGATCGATATGGGGCGCTGCAGTGTTTTTCAGTGAGATTTCATAACAGTAAAAGGGTCTTACCCTGCTAAATGGATGTAAACAATGAACCAGCGCCGACCAAAAAGTTACAGTCGACAAAAAAGTGGCAGCTGACAATAAAGCGCCACAACCTTACGATAAAATAACATCACAGTCGTGTGTGTATGTTCATTGTATTTTTCCCCCCGAATTTTCGAACTGGTAAAAAGCAATTCGTCATGTGACACGGAAAAGGTCGTAAGCAGCCCAGGTGCGCAAAAAGCCCTTTTGGAGATAATCGAGTCAAAAGGTTTATCGCATAAGGTTGAAATTTTGACTGACGAAATTCATTTATAACTAAAATAAAAGTGTGCATTTTTATGTCAAATGATTACTTAATTATTTCAATTTTTATGCTAACAACCTCGCACCGGGAACTTCCTCAGCCTTAAACGTACGCTTAAGCGACATGTTAAATCCTTACGTCCTTTTGCAGGGAACAAAATTGGCTTTGCGTACCCACCTGAGTGGGACGTTAGCGCGCTTCGAACATTTTTTGTTACATTAGAATTACACGCTTACGACCTTTTGCCGGGCACAAATAATGAAAAATCTCCTTCCGTCTTTTGTTTTCTGTTAATTACGTCAGAATGACGTAGCCCCTTGAGACAATATGTATATCAAATGAAAGATATTTCCAAGCTTTATCGATTACCCGAAAAATCTGAATTTGACATTTTGACCCATTTTTCGCCCATACGACCTTCTTCCAGGCACTCGACGAATTCAAATATTCGGTCGGTGATCAAATACTGGACTATTCTGTATAGTCTGGACAGCCCTACAAGATTTAAAAGAACATAGTTGCCCAAGCAAGCAAACTCGTCCACTCCCCAAAAAGCTCTTTTCCCACACATTGAGGTAACAGTATCTACCAAGTTTTAAGGTATAAAGGAACAATGTCAGAAGCCACTTTCAGACAACGTTTGCAAAGTCTTCTGTACAGAAAAGTTCTAAGACTTTCAATAAAAATTCCCAAATTGCTATCAAAAAACCATTTCCTAAACTTGGCATGAAACACAGGGTCAAATTTTTCCTTTTTTTGTTAATGACTGTGAAGACATTACCCGCAGGACAGACAAATAAAACACAGAAGAGAATTTGAAGCACGTCCTAAGATATAGGAAAAACCAAACCTATCCCTTGTTTTTAAAAACCTTTTCCCTGGAAGCACCGTTCCGACCAAAAAAAATGGAACCACTTGTTCGTTCTTTTAAAGAACTCCAACTGGCACATTTTCTTTTTCTTTAAAAAAATCTATTCTTATGCATAATTCTAAATAAAGAATGTTTTTTTTTTAGCATGGATCGGGTGTTGGATACATTCCACAAAATGTATTCAACTAACTTTCAAGATTTTTGTCAAAACTTACGTCCATATAAAACAAACAAACAAATTATTTAAAGTATTCGACTACATTCAAATATGCACTGATAATATCGATCTTTTTTTTGCCAAAATACTTGAATCAGTAAATGTTTACTGATGAACACCCGAAAAAAATATATATTCATATTTGTGCATTTGCATTTTTGTCCTTATCTTTTTATTAAGGTAAACACTTCACTAATAATTTGGTTTTTATACAAAGATTTAAAGCCTTATGTGGCTTGGAGTTTTATGGAAAAATATCTACACCTTAAAAAAAAAAAAAAAACAAGAACAAATATTAATTAACAAGTTGAAACAACCTATTTTTTTGGTTACTTATTTACAGAGTTGTTATTTATAAGCAGTTTTCGAGTTATTGTGCTAAGCATTTCATTACAAAATAAATTTCAATAGTGATATCTTTAAATTTGGCTTTTCCACATCAGAAAAAGGTATTTGTTTACGGCTAATTTCTTTTTTTAAATATTTTTTTTGCCAACGTGCATATTCCACTAGCACTGCAGTTAGCAAGTGGCAATGAATGTTCATATTTATATAATAAAACATCACTCGTATTTCTCATATATTTTTGTTTTGGTTTGACCACTTTTCATATCATTGTGAAACATATCTTGGTATTCAATGCAATATGAATACCATTCAGGAATAAAACAACACCTCAAATGTCACCAAAAACTCTAGAAAGTGTCACAATATTTGTTTTTTCACAAACCTGATGACATTAAGCGACTTTAAGTCATTTTTGATATTAGCCTAGCCCTAGTCACTAAACATGATCCGATAAAAACGCATTCGTTCACCCACAACAAACAAATAAATGTAATGCCCTGAAACAATTTGCCACTATGCCAGCCTTTCGTCTAACTCAAAATTTTGCCCTCGTACTTAAAAACCATTTCTCCATGAACCGCCCCAAACCACCCTGCCCGTTACTCCCTGTACCTGCCCCAGACCTGCCCTGCCTGTTACTCCTTGTACTGCCCCAAACTGCCCTGCCTGTTACTCCCTGTACTTCCTGTTACTCCCTGCACTGCCCCAAACTGTCCTGCCTGTTACTCCCTGTACTGCCCCAAATCTGCCTTGCCTGTTACTCCCTGTACTGCCCCAAATCTGCCCTGCCTGTTACTCCCTGTACCGCCACAAACTGCCCTGCCTGTTACTCCCTGTACTGCCCCAAATCTGCCCTGCCTGTTACTCCCTGTACTGCCCCAAACCACCCCAGCACACTACGGTTTTATGGACTCATCAGGGAATAAATACAATGTATTACAATGTAATACAATGAAATACAATGTAATACAATGTAATACAACGTAATACAATGTAATACAATCTAGTACAGGTGCTAACAGGATAAAATCTGGGGTTTTTTTAAGCCAAAAATTTCCTGAAGATTGTAGTACTGGCATTCTATTTCAAAAGCAAGTTTCTGGTAGCACCCGACGAAATAAGAAAGTCTGCGGACATTTATTTCAACCATGCCGACACAAAACCAGCACAGAATATTTCCAGGTACACGAAACCTGGGCCCAATTTCATATGGCCCTGCTTACTGTTAGTGAAAGATCCTTGCTTACTGTAGCAGAAAATTCTGTGCTTACGGTAAGCGTTATTTCACGGCTTAACAAGGAGTTTTGGCTTCTGCGCATGCGTACATCCCGCAAGTAAGGATTCTGTGCTTACAGGCTTAGCGCAGAATCTTTCTGCTAGCGCGGTTAGCACAAATTGGTGATCGTAAGCGCGGAATTCTATGGTTAGCAGAACCATGAAATTGGGCTGTTGCTAAACATGGTTTACTTTAATTACTTGGTTGAGAAACAAAATCCACACGGGGACTACATTACTGGTAAAGATAAACATTTTTTGCCTATTTTCTTTTTTTTTGCTCTATAAAAATTTCATTCAAACGTCTAGGACTACCTGTTCCATTTCAATGATTTGTGATGATCACAAAGATATACACTGGACCTAAATTCCTACCCAAGAAAATACTTTCATTAGGTGTGAACCATTTCATCATTCCGACATCATGACAAAGCATCCCTTTGAATACAATCATCAAAAAACCAGCTCTACTAAATATGGGCCATTGGCTTGCTGACCTTAGGTACTAAACTAGGCATTCTGAGGTCGTTACGCGGGAAACGCTGCTTTTTTGGGGGGATCAATCTTAAAAACAGTTATCCGCACTCAAAAAGTACAGCAGTCACCGCATGCAACACTCAGGATAACGTCTGTCTTAAAATCGGACTATACCTCATTTGCAGAGCAAACAATCGGGGACGTTTACGCGAAACGCCAAATGCCACCCACGAGCCGACAGTTTATGGCCAGTGTTTTTTTTGTTGTGTTCCCCCGCTGGTCGCCTTACCGTGCTAACGTCGCAATCAGGCTGGCGCAGATCTCAAAGAACTCCATGGTGTCGTGGTTCATGATGTGCTGGGCGGAGCCGGAGGCCGCGGTGGGCGTGCTGGGGGACCTGGGGGTGTTGGGGATGGAGGAGGGGCGGGGTTTTGTTGAGGAGGCGGGGCGGGGTGTTGTTGAGGAGGCGGGGCGGGGCGTCGTTGACGAGGAAGGGGTGGAGGGCTTGGAATCATCCGTCTCCATCTTCTCATCTGAAGGTGAGAGAAAAAAAAAACCTTTTGTTTAACGAAAACAAGGTACCAGCCAAAGCACGTGGTGTAATAATGCTTATAAGTGGTTCCCGGATGGGTAGGCATTACATTCACTGTGTGGACTTCGGAACAAAAGAGGTCCACATAAACCAGGTAGAGGCGACGTTGTGTGGACTTGGGCAAGTCCACACAGTGTTTCCCCATTTCTGGAAAACAGGTTTGGAGGCATTTCTGGGTTAGGTTTATCTGTGGCAAAATGAAGAGAAACACTAAAGGGGATCATAGACAAAAAATTGGGTTGAAAGAGTTTTCACAGTTTGAGAAAAATGATTTTTTTTTTTTCACTGGTTTTTCTTAACTACACGAAACCAAGGGAATGTCCACACTTGGTATGTAACGTAAACATGGGTGGGTAGGCATACACCGCGTTATGGGGAAGTTTTTTATTGTTAGGCAAATTAGGACCGAGTTATGGGGACTTTCTACTGTCCCCATAGCATTTTCGGTCCCCACAAATACCTTGCACAGATACCCCACAATTACGGAACAAGAATGTGTGTGTTTACACTGTGTGTGACCGGTGCTCAGTTGTCTTTTGCAGAGACCACAAATTTGCTTCACAATTTTTTTTTCTCCTAAGGCAGCCTCAAGAAAGTAATACAAAGTACCAAAAGGGACGGATTCCAAATTGGACTGTGCATTTTTCAAATAATTGAGCATTTCAATTATTCTAAATTGGACTTGAATATTCAAATATTCAAAATGTGCTGATCAAGTTTAACAGACGCCAGCCTAAAGCCCGGTTCATACTTCATGCGAAGGCGAATGCGAATTTGGCGTCATGAAACATTCGCTACGAAATACGCCAGAGTTTAAATGCGTTCAACATTTGTTCGCAGCCATGACGTCACAAATTCGCTTTTCGTTTCGAGTATGAACCGGGCTAAAGGGACTGTCTCAATTCATATCCAGGACGAGTTCTGGACAAGTCGCAGGTTGAATCATTCACTTTGTCCAGAACAAGCTCTGCATTTGTACCGGGCATGTTCCAGGAAAATGTTCATTATATAGCAACTGCTCGACTCACAAATACTCAATAACATCATTGCAGGGAAGATTGCGGGGAAGTTGTTCAGAATCCTGCAACTTTTATCCGATACTAATGTCGGCAACTTGTCCGGAACTCGTCCAGGATATGAATGGAGAAGGGGCCCTAAACTGGCCGCCAATCGGGATTAGCGTGTGCCTGCGCTTTTTAAAAATTGACAGAGCTTATTAACTCTAACCCTCCCGGGTATTTCGGCTAGAAACCCTTCCAAACGCAGCCACATGCAACGTTTGTCTAAGTGACAAGCCTGCCCAGTGTAGCAAGATCCATCAGGTCAAACTTTCAAGGCCAAACTGCCTCAGAGTCTCTGGTCACCAACTGCAGCAGGATACAACTGTAGCATTGTTCAATGGGACTAGCTGTCATTGTCTCAGAAGCGGTGTTATGCAATGGTGTTGGTAGCTGAATGCATCAAAGTGCACCAGACTTTTTCCACCTGATGCACTGTGTCGCGTCTGGCAGGGTTAGGGTTTGGGTTAAAATACTACAAAAATAGAAGTCACGGAACGGCTGATATCTGACCGATTTTACAGAAGAAATTTGAGCTAATTTTTCTCATGGACGTGATGGTCTTCCTGACACTGCTCACCTTTTTTTTCCAATATATAAATCGGAAAAAAAAAGAAGCTTCTTAGCCCCCCCCCCCAAAAGGTCTCCGGTTTCTGGTAAACGCGCGCGTCGCTGTAGCCATGCGCGTCGGCAAAATGAAAAAAAACAATTCAATGTAAGATGATGTCTCAAAACTGCCAAACTCACTGGTTTGACTGGAATCCTGCTGCTGCACAATTTTAATGTGTTTTTAAATGGGGTTATGATCGAGTATCAGCTTTATGTGGCCTCTCTGGACTCCCATATATTTTGCACTAAATTTAGTCGGGCACCATTTGCAGTCATCAGCCGATATTTGAAGACAAAAAAAGTAAAAAAAAGAAAAAAAAGCTGCGTCGCTGCACCACTTTTGGGGCAAGCTCCATACCAGAAACCGGAAACTTTTTTTTGGGCCTTAGATATTCGGATGAAGATCAAATATTTGTTATATTCGTCACAGCCCTAATTTCACAGAGAAAACGAGGACTCTTTCTCCATACCCATTGAACCGTATTGCCCCAAGCTATTCCTAGTATTGCTCAGACTCTTGAAGTCCAGAAGATAACTCTTGTTGTCCACTTGGTACAGCTGCAGACTCATCTTGAAGATGCTGCCCGACACCACGTTGGTCCGCCGGACGTAGACGTGGTAAGGGTTGACGACCTTCCAATCCTGCAGGGGAGGGGAAAGAGGACGAGACAGGGTAACAGAGAGGGGGCGAGAATGGTGGACGAACAGGGCGAGACGCAAGGGTGGGAACGAACAGTCAGCAGCGTTCTTTCTGTGGCTAGGATTTAACCACTACTCCAATAGTATTTTGACTAGGGACAGCTTTGAATTCTACTAAATCCTCCACTCTTCAGGAAACCAATTTCACATTTCTTTTTAACTTAAAAAGTTCAACCGCTGGCCGTTTTCCTGAATCAACCAAAGACCAGTACGTTCTTTACTTAGGCAGAGGGAATGAAAGTCATAGAATACCTTCCACCGCCCGCATGTGCCGAAAGGTGCTGCCAAAATTTTTCATTATTTACAAAAAAAATCATTGTTTACCCAGAATATTAATCTGCCAGCGCCACAATAGTTTACTTCTAATTTAATCAGAATCCGCTCTACACCATTTTTCTAACGCAGAATAATGATGAGCAAACCCAACCCGAAACCGAAACTGACCTGACCCGAAACCGACTTCGGCGCACTGGGCACGCCTAAGCAAAAATGCCCAAATCGAACAAATGTAGCTGCGCAAGATTATGTTCAACCGTGAAGATTTCAACAATTGGCTATGACAAAAGTATGGCCCTGGCTCCCCAAGCTTGTAAAACGCGCACGCGGGAAACCAAGACGACGACGAACTGTTTAAAAACGGTCACTCCATTACTTCCGACTGCCAGGGTGGCTTTGTTGAATTTGCCAGCCACAGAGGGAGGGTTTGAAATTTAATCAGTGCTTGAATTGGATTCGAACCTCCCAAAGACAGGAGTACAGTACTTACATAGTTGAGCGTTTTCATGGCCCTGTAGACCTCTCCCATGATGTCCAGGGGTCGGCTCTGTGATCTGATCCCAAGGTGCCACTTGGATAAATCAGTGCTTGAATTGGATTCGAACCTCCCAAAGACAGGAGTACAGTACTTACATAGTTGAGCGTTTTCATGGCCCTGTAGACCTCTCCCATGATATCGAGGGGTCGGTTCTGTGACCTGATCCCAAGGTGCCACTTGGATAAATAAGTGCTTGAATTGGATTCGAACCTCCCAAAGACAGGAGTACAGTACTTACATAGTTGAGCGTTTTCATGGCCCTGTAGACCTCTCCCATGATATCGAGGGGTCGGTTCTGTGACCTGATCCCAAGGTGCCACTTGGATAAATAAGTGCTTGAATTGGATTCGAACCTCCCAAAGACAGGAGTACAGTACTTACATAGTTGAGCGTTTTCATGGCCCTGTAGACCTCTCCCATGATATCGAGGGGTCGGTTCTGTGACCTGATCCCAAGGTGCCACTTGGATAAATAAGTGCTTGAATTGGATTCGAACCTCCCAAAGACAGGAGTACAGTACTTACATAGTTGAGCGTTTTCATGGCCCTGTAGACCTCTCCCATGATGTCCAGGGGTCAGCTCTGTGATCTGATCCCCAGGTGCCACTTGGATAAATCAGTGCTTGAATTGGATTCGAACCTCCCAAAGACAGGAGTACAGTACTTACATAATTGAGCGTTTTTATGGCCCTGTAGACCTCTCCCATGATATCCAAGGGTCGGCTCTGTGACCTGATCCCAAGGTGCCACTTGGATAAATCAGTGCTTGAATTGGATTCGAACCTCCCAAAGACAGAAGTACAGTACTTACATAATTGAGGGTTTTCATGGCCCTGTAGACCTCTCCCATGATATCCAGGGGTCGGCTCTGCGACCTGATCCCAAGGTGCCACTTGGATAAATCAGTGCTTGAATTGGATTCGAACCTCCCAAAGACAGAAGTACAGTACTTACATAATTGAGGGTTTTCATGGCCCTGTAGACCTCTCCCATGATATCGAGGGGTCGGCTCTGTGACCTGATCCCCAGGTGCCACTTGGATAAATCAGTGCTTGAATTGGATTCGAACCTCCCAAAGACAGAAGTACAGTACTTACATAATTGAGGGTTTTCATGGCCCTGTAGACCTCTCCCATGATATCGAGGGGTCGGCTCTGTGACCTGATCCCAAGGTGCCACTTGGATAAATCAGTGCTTGAATTGGATTCGAACCTCCCAAAGACAGAGGTACAGTACTTACATAATTGAGCGTTTTCATGGCCCTGTAGACCTCTCCCATGATATCGAGGGGTCGGCTCTGTGATCTGATCCCAAGGTGCCACTTGGATCGCTTGACCGGCGTGATCCGCCGCGACAACTCCAAGGAGCTCTTCACGTCCAGGTGGTCGTTGATGTTCGTCACTGCTTCCGCTTTATTTTTTTTTAAAGTTCAACAAAAGAAATTGTCTTCAGCGGGGTTTGAACCTACGGACCTCCGGATTGCTGTTCCGGTGCTCTACCAACTGAGCTATCCCGCCCTATGTTTATAGCGGTTTGTTTAAAATGTAAAAATAGTTAAACTTGCACAATCCCCCTGGCATGCTGGAATTTATACAGTCAGTTAGTAAGCGCACTTTTCAGTTGACCTTACCAAAAACAACAATGACCTCATTTGACCCCTAGATGACCTTTGACCTCAATGGCTCAAGTCATCTGAAGTCCCCCTACCCAAAGATTATTGTCACCAAGTTGATTGAGATTGAAGTCTGAATTTTCATATGACAGCACTTTTCAGTTTAACTAACCAAAAACATTGACCTCATTTGACCCCTAGATGACCTTTGACCTCAAAGGTCTCAAGTCACATGAAACCCCCCTACCCAAAGATGATTGTCACCAAGTTTGGTTGAGATTGAAGTCTGACTTTTCATATGACAGCACTGAACAGTCAACCTAACCAAAATGGAACACACATACTGGCGGACAGAAGGAATACACTATCGCAAAATCCCCCTTTCTTGGCTAAAGCCAGGGGGATAAAAAGTAAGTTTTACAGTACAGGGCCAACTGGTTCGCAGAAGAATTTACACTGTTAGTTTTATGGCACAAATGACTTTCCTGCGGGCTGATATTAATCCGAGTGCGGACGCACGGTAGAATAACCACAATGGAATGTAAACGATCACTTGCAGTAAACTTTTTACAAAATTAAGTCTAGTACCAGTCCTTCATTTAAAGAAAATCCAGGAGAGCTATAAATTGCTCTCCTCAAATCTTTGAGGAGAGCAAATCGCTCTCCTTAAAATCCACGGATAAACAGCGGTGAAACGACGGGTCAACATTGTTTTTGTTTTATTTTGAATATCAGGATTTATTCAAGGGGCTACATTATAGTTTTTGCATAATAACATGCTCAAGTGGCGTTACTTCTTTGGTTTTTGTAACTGTAAGACAAGGTAGAATTTATTTTTAAAAACTAACTAAATGGAGATTAATAAAAGGTTTTACTGCTTACGCTTTCATTTTTTTAATACAGTTGTCAGTTGGTTCATCACTTAATCATACTTGGAAAATGGAGTTAATAAACGGCACATAAAGCAACTGAATATTTGCTTTCAGATTTTAGCAATATCCGGCGGAATATTAACGTGAGTTTGGGCATTATACCAACGAATGTGGCCTACGTGTAGCATCAGACTTAAAATCCTTGGCGTTTTTATCACTTCTTATTTTTAAACTTCCCGTGTTTGATGAGCCCTCTTCTGGATTTCTGAGGAGCGCTATTTTTTTGCGCTCCTTCGAGACAGTCGAGGAGCGCAGTAGGAGCGCCTGCGCGATCGCGCTCCTTAAAAATGAAGGACTGTAGTACTAACGTGGCTTAACCCTATCTCCCTAGCATAATTTACTAAGAACCATACCCATCCTGGCAAATTCCAACATCATATGGGAAACTGCACACACATATTTTTGACTTTTGATTCTGGAGGTGTGCCAACCCAATGTAAAAGACTGTCAGTTTAGGGGTACTGTACCCATCCTAACAGATTCCAACAAAACATGCCGTTGGGGTTTGATGGGTCGGGGGAGGTTAGGGTTAATTTGCATTGTTTAAACAAGAAGAGATGTGCATGACCTTAATTAACTGGTCAGATACTTACGGGGCATTTTCTCCGGGTGTGCTTTGATAGCTGGCGGCCCTTCCTGTGAAGAAGGAAAAAAAATCACTGAAAAGCTCAACAACAGAAGAAAAAAATTGTTGCTCTCGATTCAGCCTTGCATTCTACAGTTTTTATTGAAAAAATTATCAAAAAGATTTGGATCAAAGGTCAGTTGCAGCTACTCCAAAAAGTAATGGACCAAATTATTGTTAAAAAGCTTACTTGGTTTAAAGATAGTTCAGGCACTAAACTCCCTGTGAAATTATTCCTTCTGGCATGCTGTCATTTTAAAGAAAACAATAAAAGGTCGCTTACACAGAGACGTGTTAGGTGACACATATTTACGAAATGTCCGTCTGTAGTTGGGTGAATCCGTGAATAGGTGCAAACGTTGACACGACGCACATGCGCACGTGGTTACAATTACTTGTTGGTTCAGTGTGTGACATCACCTAACTACAATCCCGAATGCTGATTTGGGGTCGAGTCTCGAGAGGGCGCAATTCAAAATATGACTCGGCAACTTTTGAATTGAAATCGAGACCCAGAAAATTGTGTTTTGTCAAAATATACAGCATTCACAGAGCTAAAACTTCATCAGGCTAGTTGTAAAGCAACCGTCTTTGGATTTTGAGAACTTTTGTTGCTTCAAACGAAAAAAATGCACTAATGAGAAATGGTCCATTCTACCTTTAATTTTAACATATTAAACAGTTAGGAGTGACTACACATGAAAGACATCAAACAACTGACTGTTGCCGTCGATTTTTAAAGATATAGTCCATCATTTGTAATTTGTGCATTTTGTTCGTTTGAAGCAACAAAAGTGTTCAAAATCTAATGAAGGATACTGAACAACTAACCTGATGAAGTTTCAGCTCAGCTTCAGCTGTATATTCCGAGAAAAACAGCATTCTAGGATCTCAATTTCAAATCAAAAGTTGCTGAATCGTGTTTTGAATTGTTTTGAATTGCAGCTATATGCGATGTCGCGCACTGATCCGACGAATTATAGCAACCGCGCGCGCCTGTGCGTCGTGCCAATGCTTGCGCGCGCTGCGCCGAATAGCAAAACAAACTACTAATTTAAATTTTCCTACGGTGCGTCTTAAGACGCACCGTTGGAAAGGCCTTCCTTCGTTGATTTCTTCAAAATGATAGCTTGCCAGAAAGATTAATTTCACAGGGAGTTTAGTCTACTTACTATCTTTCAACCAAGTATGTTTTTCAACAATAATACGCTAGTTACTTTTTCGGATGGCTGCAAATGATGGACTATAGCTTTAAGAAGCTGCTCTAGTCACGTAATTGGGTAATTTGAAAGAATTACCATCTGACATCACATTATTAAAATGTATACACGGAATAGTTTAACCCTTACTCCCTACTGTCTTTTTACTAAGTACTGGACCAAATCCGCCAAAATCCATCAACCACACTGCTTCCAAAACATGCTTTGCTTTAGGCCTCCAGGCCCAAGTCCATCAATATTTAGTCAAACCGGGCCTGCAGGACCAAGTCCCAAAATGGGGGGGGGGGGGGGGGTTGATAATTTTTGATGGAGTTGGGACTAGGGTCAACTTAAATGCATATAGGATCATATGGGCAATTCCACGGTTACTCACGTTACATTTTTGATGTACTTTTGAGTTTCCTTGGGCTGTAATTACCTGACTGAAAAGGTTTACTATTAAAAACTGTTATCCCCATGGTAGATAGAGTAGACCTAGACCTGCCTAAGCACCAAAGATGACATCCAGAAAAATGTGTGATGTATGATAAACAAGACGCACAAAATCGGTTACTCACGTTACATTTTCTTAATGTGAGTAACCGATTTTACAAAAATGTAACGTGAGTAACCATGGAATTGCCCATATGCATTTATCCCAAAAGTAACCTACCGAGTTATCATCAAAAAGCTAATACTTAGATTAAAGACCCTACTGGTACTAAACATCGGGTGAAATTATTCCGTCTGGCTTGCTGTCATTTAAAGGAAATCAAGAAACGTCGGTGATTTCCGACGATCAGCCAATTGACTGATTTTTGAAAATAAAGAGTGCTATTGACAAAATCATATTTCTAATCAAAAGGTTCTGAACAATTTTCACTGTTTTCTGGAAAGGTGTACTATCCACCGAGCTGAAACCTCCCTAGGTTAGGTTTTGAATGTTCTGCTTTGGATTTTGAGTGGTGTTATTATTGGAAACGAACAAAATGAACATAATGAAACGAACACAATTCATGCAGTGACTCACCCCAACTTGAAGAAATGATTCTCTTGGTGGTGGACTCGAAGCCAGGTAAAAATCTTTCATTTGCGATTTCGAAGCTACAGTGGGTGACAATGGCATACAATTTATATAACCTATAAAGCACAGATTTTCGAAGGAGAAAAGAATGGATGCAGGATTTAATGGTTGTGTGTGATCTTTAACCCTAACCCTCCTCAATCCTCCAAAATCCTCCTTGTGGTTTTGGAGGATTTTGGAGGATTGAGGCTGAATGGTATTTTTTTAGATAAGGATTTTGGAGGATTGAGGCTGAATGGTATTTTAGCCGAAAAGGATTTTGGAGGATTGAGGCTGAATGGTATTTTTCAGAACAGGATTTTGGAGGATTGAGGCTGAATGGTATTTTTTCAGAAAAGGATTTTGGAGGATTGAGGCTGAATGATATTTTTTTCAGAAAAGGATTTTGGAGGATTGAGGCTGAATGGTATTTTTTTAGATAAGGATTTTGAAGGATTGAGGCTGAATGGTATTTTGCAGAAAAGGATTTTGGAGGATTGAGGCTGAATGGTATTTTTTCAGATAAGGATTTTGGAGGATTGAGGCTGAATGGTATTTTTCAAAAAAGGATTTTGGAGGATTGAGGCTGAATGGTATTTTTTCAGAAAAGGATTTTGGAGGATTGAGGCTGAATGGTATTTTTCAGAAAAGGATTTTGGAGGATTGAGGCTGAATGGTATTGTTTCAGAGAAGGATTTTGGAGGATTGAGGCTGAATGGTATTTTGAGGCAGGACTGTCTGGTGATTTTGAAGGATTGAGGGGCTGGGTTCCCTTCATTTGAACCTAAGTGCAACATTTTTGGATGAGGAGGATTTTGGAGGATTGAAAATGGATGCATTTTGAGGCAGGACTGTCTGAAAATTTTGAAGAATTTAGGCGCTGTTGTAAAATTTTTGGAGGATTGAGGAGGATTGAGAGGATGGTTCCTAGCAAAAAGGCCTAGGGGGTTAGGGATAATAGTTTGGGTGGGCGGCCGTGTTATGGGGAACTTTGTTATTGCTATAGGAAAATTACGACGGAGTTATGAGGACTTTCTGCTGTCCCCACAGCGTCTTCGGTCCCCATAATACCATGGGACAACTCGTGTGTAGTCCCCACAACTACGGAACAAGTATGTGTGTTCCAACATTGCATACTCTTTTTTTTTTGACCTGTGAACAAAAGACGTCCGCAGGGTGCAGGAAGTGTGAACGTTTTGTGGACTTGCCCACGTCCACACAAGATTTCCCCCGCTCTGAAAAACAGGTTTAGAGGCATTTTTGGGCTACGCTTATCCATCACAAACTGAAGGGGAACAGTCAAGGAAATCATGATTGAAAATTCGGGTTGAAAGATTATTCACAATGCGAGAAAAATCAGTTTTTTTCCTCCAGCTTTTCTTAACTTCGCGAATACAGACGAATGTCCACGGTGGGTATGGACGCTAAGTGTGTGCACATGTACTGGAATTTGTATCCATGTGGAGTCATTTCTTTGTTCTCGTGTACTAAAGTTTTCAAGTTTTGGAAGTGTACTTTCAAAATGCTCTTATTTTAACCAGAATTAATTTCCTGGGCTGAAATTTGGACTTAATATCCCTTACATAAAATTCTTCCATTTGCGAGGGATCAACACACCTTGGAAATTCCTAGTTTTTGAGTAAAATCCATATTTCGTGATAACCTTGTGGAGACGTATACAATCTTCTGTTCCCTATTGTGCACATGTCTCCACAGGGTACCGTGTACCAGATCATGTTTATGGTGTAAATCGAGGACACACATGTGAAGCATCGTCAGGTAATTGAAGACAGGAGTCACATCGAAGACGACCTCGATTAGAAAACGGGTACAAAACCAATGGCAGCTGTTGCAAAAAAGTTAGAGTATAAACAAAAGATCGACGATGAGGAACAATAGAAAATCCTCAATTTTAATACACCATAAACAAACCTGTGAGCAGGCCTACAATGTACGCCGCGTTAAAGGGAAGTTTTTTATAGTTAGGCAAATTAGGACCGAGTTATGGGGACTTCCCACTGTCCCCATAGCAAAAAGCATCCCAGGGCCTACAAAAAGACGGGGCTTACCTTCGTCCATGATACGTTTGTTGTCGATGATAAGGAAGTAGGCTATGCGTAGTTGATCGTGCGGGTCCCCAGCCAACAATGAACTGTGCACCTCTTGCTCTTTCACGCTGAATTTCTGCGGCAAATAAATAAATCTATTTAAGAAAAAAAATTAGTAAACTAATTTATAATTAAATATATCAATGAATCAATTAACCCTAACTCCCTAGGCCTTTTTTGCTGGGATGTAGCCTCAATCCTGCAAAATCCTCCAATTGGCCTCATGGAAAAATAGCCTCAATCCTGCAAATTCCTCCGTTATATCTTGAATATGATCCGTGGAGGGGTGACCACTGCCTGAATCCTGCAAAATCCTGCGGCAGTGACTGTCAGTATGTTGAGGCTTGGCCAGTGACATCCTGGAGCAGTACGGAGGATTTCAAGCATAATCCAGGCCTATACTTATGCATGGCTGAGCAAAAACAACAAGACCTTGAAAAAGGGCATCCTACGAAATCAGTAACGCACTTTTGCCATGTAACCTCAATCCTCCAAATTCCTCCACTTTGGCAAAGAGGATTTTGAAGGATTCAGGGCAGTTAGGGTTAAATAATAACTTTAAATTTTTTTTTCAATAATTGTATGTATATTTAGTAACACCAACGTAGCCCCATCGGTTGCTAATCAGCAGGGAGGTTACCAGCCAAAAAGTACATGGACTTTACATGCCTGTGACTGGTACCTTGCTTATTATAGCCTTGGTTAAAGGGAAGATACAACATTTGCAAACATGACAAAACGAAATGATCAAATTATCACGAAATACCTTAGTGGATTGTTAGGGAATGACAGTCTAATGCATCCTGTAAAATCGTGGCCACTTGTATTATTTTCAAAACTGGTCGGCCTACCAGCGTTTGAAAAAAATGGCTTTTTTTAAAAAACTGCTCCAAATTTTTCATAATACATTATTCTGCATTTTCTTTGCAATTGATCTGTGAAGGGGTACAAGCCTACTAGACTGATTCTCTGACCTTACAATTTCCCAAAGTCTATAAATTGCTCCGTTTCATCTTAAGTGGGGTCAGGGAACCAGACTACAAGAACACGATTGGTTTTCTTTGTTTTTCCAGCATCTACAAGTCCAAAACTTGAAACAAGTCATTTTAACAATATCTGCAATAACATACTAATCCTCCAAATCCATTTATTCCTGAAAATTGCAGCAAAAACAAATGGTTGTACATTCCCTTTAAGGCATTCAATGATAGTGTGCGATGATCAATGGTCGGCCGCTAGCATAAGCAGTAGCTGCGAGCTACGCACTCACACGTACTGTACGCAGCGCGAACAGTGACTTCACGCGGCTAGACTACAATATGCAAATCAGTTGGTGCCGGTTGTATGTAAAGTTTGTTCCTTGAACGTTACTCTTTTATGTGATGTAAAATTCAAGGCCACATGTGCAAAAATAAGAAATTATGCCTGTTTGTTGACGGGTCCAAGTTATCAAACTGCAAGTTATTTCACCACTTGGCCAAATGGCACTCCATACCTCAAATTGTGTGTGGATACTTCTGAAGCACTTTTCTTAAAAGTTTTGTAATGGTAACACTACAACCTCGTCCCCAGGGTATCGAGCAGTACGCGCCCACCAATACCTGCTCTCTCACCCTGGTATTGGATCATTTGCATGTGCAAGATTTTTGAACACGTATGCAAATGAGGAATAGTCTGTCAATTTGTCGCAGTGCGAGCATGGCATGAGTTACGAAAAGACGATTTTATTTTAAACTGTTACGATCTTAACGAGACAACATGCAGTATCACATTTCACATTTATAAGAACAAATTGGAAAGGAAATGAATATTTTCGAGAAGGTGTGGACGAATGATTGCGAAAACATGTACTGCAGGTTGTGAATAACACCACCAAGTATACGATATTTCGAGCCAATTGCGGCATCGAATCAGGATACAGGAAGAAAGTTTCCTATCCAGGGCTTACTATTGGAAACGAGGTTGGAAATAAAGTAAGCACTGGGGATGAGGTTGGTAACACTATGACTAAACTGCACCATTAGAACGATCTGATAACACTCTTTCAGCTGGTATATGTTTGATGTATGGGCGGCCAAACATATCAACATGAATAAATCTGTGTTGAGGGTGTTCTGTGTGTGGTTTCCTGGCCGACTGAAGTCGCCTATGGTAAGCAGCAGGGGGAGGGGGAGGGGGAGGGGGAGGGAGGGGGGTGGTAGATCCTTGCCAACAAATGTAGCCCATGGTAAGGAAAGGGTTACTGGACTAATCTAGTCTTGCACAGGTGAGACAAAGATGGAATTGTACCTCACAAACTTCCCGTACTGCCTCGGTGTCAATGATAGACCCGTCAAAGTCGTTCCTCGGGAATAGGTAATCCGGCAGATCCACCTTGAACCATTCGTGATCTCTGGACATGCGAACACACACATCGGAATGTTATTTTTCCTCCACGAACGTATATCGCAAAACATATAACTTTAATGTACAAACAACCTGGTCCACACGTGCCATTTACAAAAAAATGTTTAAATGATGAATAAAAATGATAATTATGCACTAAATAAAAACATGAAAGGGCCGATGCAATGTAATTTTTTTAATGCAATAGTTGAAAATGCTCATTTGTGTCCTATTTAACCTAATTTTCAATTATCGTTTTTGCCATTGTCACGGGCACTTTCGGGTGCCTCTTTTGGCTTTTATGCTAATGCAAGTTTCCATATTCATGAGCAAAAGTGTGATATTTTGAGGATGGAAACTCAGTGCTACAGCTATTTTAGCATCAAAAGTTGCCAGATTTTTGACATTTTGCTGTCGTAAATTTGCTTTTCTTTGGTGATTCGTTGTTGTGTCAGTACATGGCAGTTTTAATGCCAATGAGCAAATTTTTCTCACAAATGTTTTCAATGAGCAAATTTTTGGGTTCACAATTTGAAAAGAAAACCCCTAAACGGAACGGTGTTGCTGTGATGAAATGACATCACAGCAACAGCGCCCTCAGTTGTCCGGAAAAGCACAGATAATTTAAAATGTTTAAAGAAGTGCTTTTTTCAATAGAATTAACCAAAAAGGGATGTCAAATAGTTTTCATACATTTAAGAGGAGTAGAAAGTTGCACAAAATGTGTTCCTCAGAAACATTCATCTCATAGACCGTTTAACTTAAGCATTTACAATAAACTGTCTTCTCTTTGTTTATTTTTTCCCTTACCGTATGTCTTTGATGTCCGCTCGTTTCAGGGGATCCACTTGTAACATGTGCATGATAAGTCCTTTGACCGTTGATTTGCTGATGTGTTCTGGTATCGCAAACACTCCCCCTTCAAAAAAAAAAAAAAAAAAGACGTTTATTTTCGGTTTCAGTGCATGAAATGACTGAGAACATTTCTACTCCCCCTGGATGGGATGCTAGTCCATCGCAGGTTACTCCCCAGCTAATGTCAGTACCCATTTATACCCTTTGGTGGAGAGAGGCAAGCTAGGGTGAAGTGGCTTGCCCAAGGACACAACATATGAACAGCAACTGGAGTCGAACCATTGACACTCTGATCATGAGTCACATACCCTAACCACTAGGCCACACTCCCAACATTTTGGAGAAGGATCTTATAAATATAACGTCCAAAACCAGTGGCCGAACTGAAGTTTCTGTGTAAGTTTACATGTAGAAGTACTTCGGTCAGAAAATTGTCAAGACTTTATATTTTCACTTCTCCATTCGTGGACTTTTCTGAGATGAAATTGCACCTGTTTAGTAGCTACTTACATTAGGTGGCTACCCGCAAAAAGCACCTGACATTTTCCAGAAATAAGAGGAAAATTGGAGCCCGATGCGGGAACGTGATTTCCCAATGGTAGCGCACTGCACCCCGACTCGGTTACATGCAAAATGGCATGAGCCCATCCAGATATCTGTTTATTTGTTGAGCAGACGGGCGTCAATGATTGTCTGGTACGGCTTGCACCTTTTGCACGGAAACGAGTCGGGGTACTGTGCGCAACCGAACTTTCTTTGTGAAACTTACAAAGAGAACTTATTTTTTTCACTCGTTCGTACGGGGCTCCGGTTCCTCTTTATTCTGGGAAATGACGGGTCCTGTGTGAACGACAATTCGTCAATAGGGCTCTCTCAAACACGTCCATTGCTGTAGGAGAACTGCAACTGCGTATTTTATGCAATCAAGTGCGTAGTGTTAAACATGTTCCAGACATGTGCACTTCTTGCTCGAAATGAGTTCGAAATACGATGCAGCCGATGCGCATCATGCAAGTTGACGCTCAAAATGCCAATGAACATGGTTGGTCTGTCGGAAATGACGTCATTTGAGAGAGACCTATAGTCTTATCAAAGTCCTACTAAACAGGTGCAGTTTCAACTCTCATGTTCTACTGTGCAATAATTATGCCTACCTTTGATTTTCCGGAAGAGCGTAGGTACATGCTCATCGTCAAATGGAAGCTGGAGGGGGGAATCAACAAAAAATTAAAGGTAAAATGACTGGAAATTTGGCAAATTTTGGGCCGGTGTGGTGTCTGGGTTGGGCGTGGGGTCCGGGTAAGGGGTGGGGACTAAAGTCTTGTACTTACTGTTCCACATAGAAGAGCATACAGGATAACACCGCAACTCCATATGTCCACTTCAGGGCCGGCGTATAACCTACAAATAATTGGCACATAACAAACTTTACTAAAAATATATATGTAGCATTTTTAACAAAAACAAATATCCAAAACTGAAAATCCATTCGCACAATGTGTTTCAAATGCACAGTTCCCGATGAAATTGGTGCCTCCTTCAAATATTTCAAACCAGTGGATCTGAATTTCATAAATGGTCTTGCCTGAACAAGAACAACATTCGTGGCAATAAACCATTTCACATTTTTTTCGTAATTTGTTGGACTCACTTCCCAGAGATGACCTCTGGCGCTGCGTAGTTAGGTGAGCCACAACTCGTCCTCAGAAACTCTCCGTCCGTCATCATGTTAGAAAGACCTACCGGCGGATAAATAAAATAGAACTAAATTGTAATGCTCATATAGCGTTTTCCATCATACCAACAATCTCAAAGCGCTTTACAATTATTCCCTGTTCATCTGGCCGCGAGACCACATGGTAGCCGATATCAGGCCACATTCGGTCCTCTACCCTCACAGGTACCCATTTATACTCCTGGGTAGACAGAGTCAATTGGAGTGAAGTGTCTTGCCCAAGGGCACAAACACCATCTGTCTGGCAGGGTTCCATTATATCATGTACAAATTTGTATTGGAAGCACAGTGATTGATGGATTTTGATGGACTTGGTCCAGTTCCCAGTAAAAGACGCTAGGGAGTTAGGGCTAAAGACGCCCAACTTACCAAAATCAGCGATCTTGACGTGCATGTTGGTGTCGAGCAAGAGGTTTTCAGGTTTCAGGTCTCGATGGACGATCATATGCCGATGACAGTAATCTACGCCTGAGATGATCTGCTGGAAGAACCGACGCGCTTCAAAATCTTTTAGCTAAGAAAATGAAATGTGAGCAGAGAAATTGAACAAAGATAATTTAATAAAATTTAATGGAAAAAATATTACAAGCTTGCAGTACATGTTATTAAACGACGCACATTCACTCACACACGTTGGTTGCAATGAATACACAGAATATTATCAAATGTGTCATTACATATTTGTCAAAATACATGTATGTCCAAAATGTACTGTCCAAAAGATTGTTGGAAATTTCCTATACATCCATGGGTTTCTTTGAACTGGCAAAAGGAAAATTTCTAAGAAGGTGCAGTACTGTTACCATAATTAACCATTCTATGCATACATATATTCTGTGCTAATTTGTCCTTTCAATCAGAATCAATCCAGTGACTGTTTTCAACAGTTAAGAGCTCCCAGCCTACATAAAGCAGGATTGACTGGCTGGGACTGTTCATGTAACTTGATGCAGCAGTGATTCGACTGTAGGTGATTGATAAGACAGTTTCCTGCTTTAGCATGTTGACTGAATTTGACCAGTCGCGGTGCTTGCTTAACATATGATCTGACTGTTTGTGACTAGCCTGTGTAAAAGGCATGGCAGGGAAGAGGATGAATTTGTTTACTGTCTCCGACTGTTTAAATAGTCGTAGGGTTAAACCCAGTCAGTTCCATTTTATTTGAAACTATGAATAAAATCACCGAGTGGGCCCTTACAGAAAATGATGACCCCCTCCCCAGCGAAACGACATTAAAGAATGTCTTTGAGAAATTGTATATTCACCTTGCCATGTTTGACGATGTAGTCAAACAATTCACCGCCTGATACGTATTCCATAACCATAAAGATGTCGGTAGGAGTACTGATAACTTGATATCTGAGGACACAATTGGTAAATATTAACAAATACATAATATCATGTGTCAGTTTAGTCAAAATAAACAGGCTTCTGATTTAGTTTTTGGTAGCAAACAATGGCTTGTAATGTGCACAACAAATTGAGAGTTACATTTTGAGGTTTAAATGTTATTATAACTTAAAACCAGATTTTTGTTTGTACAGCAGTGTTTATTAAAAGGGCATTGTTCTGTGCAGGCCAAGAATTGTACGGTGGCTACTAAAGGGCATGGGCTCTGTTGCCCCACCTCCTTTTTTATTTTGGTGCCCTTGGACTAAAATGTATTCTTCCAGCAGTTTGGAATAAAATGGAATGGAAGTCCCGATGCAAAATAACGGCCATCATTTCAAGAATATAATTCTGAGACGATAGGTAATTACTGTTGGAACTGATGCTTAAAGTTTTAGTTATTTCCATCTTATATTTTGAAATGTTCTCTTTTGCAAAATCAATACAATTATCAAAACATTTGATAATGATGATCAAAGAGCCCATGTAATGTAATTGTTTTAATGCAATTCACCAAAATGCACATTTGTGTCCCATTTAACCTTATTTTCAATTTCCATTTTACCATTTTCAAGGGTATTTTGGTGCCTTATGGTTTTTATGCTAATGCAAATTTCCATATTCATGAGCAGAAGTTTGATGTCATTTCAGGCAGAAACCTCAATGTTACAGCTATTTCAGCACCACAAGTTGCCAGAATTTGGGATATTTTGCTGTCATGATTTTTTTTCTTCTTTGGAGATTCATTGTTGTGTCAGTACAAGGCGGTCAGCCAATGAGCAAACTTTTCTCACAAATGATCTTAACCCTAACCCACCTCACTCCTCCAAAATCCTCCTGGCGGTTTTGGAGGATTCTAGAGGATTGAGGATGAATGGTGATTGAATCAAATGAGGATTCTGGAGGATTGAGGATGAATGGTGATTGAAGCACATGAGGATTTTGGAGGATTGAGGATGAATGGTGATTGAAGCACAAGAGGATTTTGGAGGATTGAGGATGAATGCATTTTGTGGCAGGACTGTCTGATGATTTTGAAGGATTTGGCGTTGGTTATCCTTCATTTAAACACGAGTGCAAAGTTTTGGGATGAGGAGGATTTTGGAGGATTGAGGATGAATGCATTTTGAGGCAGGACTGTCTGACAATTTTGACAAATTTAGGCGGAGTTGCAAAATTTTGGAAAATTTTGGAGGATTTTGGAGGATTGAGGATGGTTGTAAGCAACAAGGGCCTAGGGGGTTAGGGTTAATGAGTAAATATTTTGGGATTCATTTGACCAGAAAACCCCCAAACTGAACAGTGTCTTCCTGAAATGAAATCACAGCAACAGCGCCCTCAGTTGTCTGGAAAAGCATGGAAAATTTGTAAATGTTTTGTAAATCTTTGCACTTTACCGCTTGCAGACGCGTTCGATAATTGACGCGCGAAGGTGCGCGACGCCATGTTGTGGGACAAAATGTGCATGGATAGATATACGCTTGTCCCACAACATGGTGTCGCGCGCCTTCGCGCGTCGATTATCGAACGCATCTGCAAGCGGTCTATTAAAGAAGTGCACTTTTCAAAAAAATTAACTAAAAAGGGATATCAAATAGTTTTCATACATTGAAGAAGACTAGAAAGTTGCACAAAATGTGTTCATGAGAAAGATTTATCTAATGGACCCTTCAAAGAAATTGGAGGATTTAAGATTTAAAGAAAAGCAACCAGTGACACGAGTCAACCTACAATTTGATGATGTGTGGATGTCTAAAGAGTTTAAGGTTCTGGATTTCCCGCCGAATCTTGCTGACTACATCCAAGCTTTTGATCTTCTGTCGATTGAGAATCTTGACCGCCACTTTGTGCTTCGTTAGAAGATGCTCTCCCACTGTGGTAAAACAATGATCAAATGTATTAATTTCTGTGAAATAAAAGAGGAAATTTTGAATAAATTTGAGTGTGGGAAGGTCAGTAAAGGCAAGTCAGAATTGGAATGTCTCATTTTTTTCTTTCCTACTTCAGAATTTTGGTAAAAGTGACAATAAGAATGAAAAGCCGCAGAGGAATCTTTACTCTGAATTTGTCGCGAGAATTACAGTTGAATGTATTGTTGACATTTGTTGTATCATCACCAAATGTTTAGGTATTAAGTCCCAAAACAGAAAAGTGTCTCTTCGTTCCCTAGGGGAACGGGGTCCTAAACTGCACAATTGCCAAGAAATTGAACATATTGAAGGGCATGGTCAAAAACCATTATTATATTATCAAATCTTGATGATAAACACATTTATTGGTAATCAGGTTATCGGGCCAGGACTTGGCCTACTTTGACAATTTTGAAGTACACAAGAAACAATTCGGGAGATGTCTCTGACTTGAAATTCAGGTTATAAAATAAAGTAAGACTAAAAAGTAAAAAAGTCAGTTTAATTTATTAATAATTGTGAACGGAATAGAAATTATTAGAATCATAAAAATATGTGAATTAAATAAATAATAAATTAATAAAAAATCATAAGGTTCACCATAAATATAAAATAGGCAGGGTAATGACTAATGTTATTGTTAATTAATTACAAAAATATTCAAAAGTTGGCCCAATTAAGAAAATTATATCAGAATAAATTAATCATTAACACTGTGCCTTCAAACTTTAGACGAGAAAATCTGTGTAAATCAACAGTGTGGCATGGCACTGGCACTGTGCCAGTGGCAAATGTATACATGTAGGCCTACATAATGCACAGTACATACATTAGTGCACAGAGAATATAAAAGGTCATATTTTCCAGAGAGGTCAAGCCAAACCCACATCGAACCCTTGCGAAACGGCCCCAAATTCACACAATTTCCAATTATAAAACACCCCAAACGACACACCAACATCAAGCTTACTCTTCACTTTGCCGAACGTGCCCATCCCTAGGGTCTCCCCTAGGGTGTAGTGGCCTATTTTCACCTGCGGATTGGACGACATGGCTGCCCAAAATCTCCGATGTTGACTTCGCTTTGCCTGGGAAATTATTTTGACCTTAAAATAGGTCAAGGTGAACGCTGTTTTCTTTTGCCACATCAATCTGTTTAAAATCTGTTTAAAAGCTACTTAAAATCATACAAACTGAAGGCATATATATATATAAAACTGCTCAATTTTTTTATACTGTAGATTATGAAAAAATAGTATAAGTATTTTGAAAGAATAGACCGAACTTTGTTCGAGGCTGACTGATGAAAACGCCCCCACACGTTCTGTTTACAACTTTCTTATCGCACGAGGATGGTAGGCGCGCGCACATGTACATCTGGCGCGCTATATTTACGTGCAGTTGAATGGACAGTTGGACCACATATTTTGATAGACAGTGACTACGTGCGCTACATGTTTTCAATTACCAAGAAAAAGAGGTCGGTCCAAAAACCATGTCAAGTATGCAAATTGTTTCTCAGAAAGTAGAACAACGAGACTGACGCATTGTGAAGAGAGATGTTTTCCTCGCAGAGGCATTTAGACGCCAGAACTCCCGCCGACGGGGTGGGACGATTGGCATTTTTGCAACAGCTTGTGACGGAATTCCAAACTTCGACTGATGACGGTACAATACATCCGCTAGAACAAAGTTAACTTCATTTATCATGTCTAATTGAATAATTATATAAAAAACGGGAAATGTAGTAAGATCACTGAGCAGTTCTCTGAATTGCTTTTGGAAAGAATTTGATATCCTAAGTGTATTTATATAAACTCAACGATTGTCATGTAAACAATAACTTAGAGAATTTGGGGTTAAGAAACTTTTCAACTCGAGCAGGTTTCGACTTTCCACTTAAAAAAAAAGTGATGTCTGAGTTCAACATTATTTCCTCGTTTTTTAAATTTTTATTTATTTGAAATTTGGCTGTCTCATTCCTGTATCCATTGAAAAACCCCGCAATGAAAATAAGTTTCTTAAACTTTTTTGCGTTATCCCTGCTTTTTCCACTGTAGGCCTATGGGGATTTTCTATGAATAATTTTTAATTTTTTATAAGATTTTTGATAAATTTGTTGTGTTTTGTTAAATCTTAACTTATACTAAATCTGTATTATCATTATGAGGAAATTGCGAATAAATCAAATCAAATCAAATTGGAAGATGATTGATGTTCTGAAAAAAAATGTGTGCGTAAATTATTAATGATCAATATTGTTCTCTTTTTTATTTATGTTGTTTTTGCAGGAGCTAAGGAACAAGTGCTAGCTAACTTAGCCAACTTTGCATATGATCCCATCAACTACAACTATCTTCGAGAACTAAATGTTATTGATTTGTTTCTAGGCAAGTATTTCATCACTTCAGTCATAAATTATCAAATTCATAAAGTCCTAGTTTATCAAAATGTTGGGTTTTTTGGGTCTTTATTTTATTCTACTGTCTGAAGATATTTATCCAATGTCTGAGGCCAGTGACGGTGTATTTTTGTAGTCCGAGTAACTAGGACTCTACGAATCGCCTTAACATGGGTACATAGCCGTATTGCGTTACTAATGACGTTTTTTGACAATTTTCACTCGTACCCCCAATCAAAATCTTCAGATTTCACCCCCAAAACAGTCTTCAAACTGCCTTATGCGCCCCTGAAGGCTTCAGTGGGAATTGGAAATACAAATGGTGGTGGTTAGGTTTACATACCTTTGGGAAGAAAAGAAGAATTTCACCTTCAATTCGGGAAACATCCTTGTCACAAACACGCCTTGTTTGAGGCTGCCATTTTGAATTCAGGAAAAGTAGACTTGTGCATGGCTCTGGCTAGACTGTTTCCTGGCAAGCATCAGACAGACCAATCACAGGGCACTTCACCTGGATTGGTGACCAATCAAAGTGCCCTGTGATTGGTCAGGTGACTAGTATTTTTGAATTGTGTATTGTTCATCAAATAGACCGGATGCGTAGCGGCCATGATCTTAGGTAGAGTTAGAGAGCATCTTTTGTTATTTTGATTCAGCAACAATGAAAGCACAAAAGGTGAACTAAATGTATTTGTGAATTTTTCTTTTTTGTTGGTATACTTTTATTCATCAAAGTTACTCATGTGAATTTTGTATTGGGAATATCTAATGAAGTCGAAAAAATGTTGCAAACAATTTCTTGGCATAGATATGTTGACAGAGTCGAGTGAAAAACTTGTGGAATTTGGTATTGGTGGCATCTGCAATCTCGCTCTTGGTAAGTTCAGGGGCCAATTTCACGGCGCTGCTAAGCACAAAAATTTGCTTAACACAAAAAAGTCTGGCTTAAAAAAGCAGGTTACCAGCCAAAATTAAACTCCGTGTGATGTTTATTGCTCGTGATTAGTATTCAGCTGTTGTTTGCTATAGCATGAAAATCACATGGAGTTTTGGCTGGTAAATTGCTTTTATAAGCCAGGCTTGTTTTGTGCTAAGCAATTTTTTGTGCTTAGCAGTGCTGTGAAATTGGGCTCAGGTGATTCTCAATAATGCAACACTAATTCAGGCCAAAACTTTACTCGCCTTCTAAGTTCTAGTTGACAAAATTCTCAAAGTTTTTTCATGAGGCAAAGACAAGGTCCCCTCAGTATTTCACCAGCCAAGTTTGAGGTTTTCAGATCAATTTGTAAAGGAGACTTTTCTTTATTATTTTGCACCTGAGAGTGAAGCCAAGTGATTTTTAATTTGAAGCCTGAGACTAGACTGGTACGCGTCCAACGGTTTGAAAAGATTGACCCTTCATTGGTTTGGTGGCAGACTATGGAGAGATGTGTAGAAATAGACCGATACCAGATGTTTCTTTTGAATACTGAGGACCTACTGGTTGTTTCATGTGCCAGTCTATTTTCTTGTATTGCATGCTTTCAGTACCTTAAGTTTTGGGACTCTCATACACAGTATTGAGAGTCCCAAATTTTCGGACTAGATCTGAACCTACAACCCTCAGAACACTGTAACAGTGCTCTACCAACTGCCACGATGCCCTAAATTGTCTATATTTTTGTTCAGCTTCAGGGATTGTTAGTCAGAAATCATAAACCTGTTGTGTATAACCAGGGATCAATAATAACAAAACATTTGTATTTTTGGATTGACAGATAGAAGCAATAAGGACTATATTATCAGCTGTGGTGGAGTGAAGCTCATCATCGATGTACTGTCAAGGTAACACAGGATACCCCCTCCCTCCCCCCCCCCCTTCCCGAACATACGCACACACACTTTCGTATTATCCTATACTTGAGAACTCACGATTGAGGATCGTTTTCAACACAAGATGAACTCTCAAGGACAACAAAGAATCTGTTGTTCTCCCTTTGTCTGTCTGTCTGTCCTTGGCGTGTATGTAATACATTTACACAGCCTGTCGGGTTTGTTTATTGTGTAAATGGAGGATTTTCTATTGTTTCTCTTCCTCTTTTCTTTGTTTATACTGTAACTTTTTCGCATCAGCTCTTATTGGTTTGGTACACGTTTTCTAATCCAGGTCGTCCTTGATTTGGTTCCTGTCCTCAATTCATCGATGATGTTGCACATGTTTGTCCTCGATTTACACCGTAAACACTCACTCACATACACATATACATGTACTTATGGGGAAGACCTTTTTTTTTCATTATTTTGTTCTCCATTGTTCTTATTGAAATCTCAAACTACATGTACATAATGTTTCCCTTTAATATGGGGCAGATAGATTTTTAAAGACTTCCTGGTGGGGAGGGTCTATTGTGTTTACTGCCCCATGTACAGTCGAATCTCGTTAGTACAAACTCTGTTTATACAAAATTCTGGTTATAACAAACATAAAGCCTTAGTCCCGACTGTGCATTTATATGCACAGTGAATGGGACTGATGTTCCTCTTAATACAAAATTCTGATATAACAAACAATTTGGCTTGGTCCGAACGAGTTTGTATTAACGAGACTCAACTGTATATGTACACCCGCAGCCACACACAAACATCTGCAGACTTTCCCCACTCCTTAAACTTCTTGAAGATTGTATGACACTGCAAGTTACACAATTGGAGCTAAGTAACTTTATTAAGGTTACACGAACAGCTGGATTAACAATGACCAAGGAAGGCCATAGTACCGCTTCGTTTTAATAGCTTGTCATTAAACTTAAGACTGACTGGTTTGGGACTGACATGTCTTTATTGACTTTTTGTTTATATATCTTCCGGTTTTTGTGTAGGCCAGAGGAGGAAACCGTCTTGTCAGCAATCACTGCGTTGATGTTCCTCACGACACCCCAATCCAAGACAGGTGATACAATCAAGTTTGTTGACAACTTTCATGAAATCTTATTCCCAAATTAAAATTCTGTCAAGACAATATCATCAGAATTGTGAAGTCTTGTACATAAAGCAGAGTTGTAAGTGGTGGGCAGCCATGTGAGTCGGGCTGAATCACATAGAAAAGTAAGGTAGCACTTAAAATGACCAACTAGAATAAAAGTCTGCATGAACTTCCGTAGCAACAACTGTTTCATCAGATGCAGTAAAGAGGAGCGTCATCATGCAAGGTTTATATACATGTACATGTGATGTTCAATCAGTGATCAGAGTTGTATGCAAAAATCATCACTAAGGGAATAACAGTGTGAGGAGCCGGTCTTCACTGCGTGATAATGACCGGGTGTGGGGGTGACCGCTGTTAATGGACCGAGACGAATTAATAAATACCTTTATAACGAAATAAACAGTTAAAATGCTCAAATTTTGTGACTTTTTTCCGGCGATATTTCCAGACTTTTTTGTGTTCATGTTCATGGGCCATATTTAAGCTTAACAGCTATAACGACGTATACTCAACAGAAACTGCTGCCGTAGCGAAACAAATTACAACAATGTTTTCATATCTTTACCTGATGGAGGAAGCTGAAATCTCGTTTACACATTCCTTGTGTCCGGAATTACAAAGATGCTTGGTTTAGAAAAGGTAAATATGTCGGTGGGTGAAGTGTTCAAAGAAAATAAATCGTAGATCTACGCTTCGGTCGTAAACATCCTCAGTATATACTGCACTGCTGTACGATGTCGTTTCAAAACTTCCTTACGCGCGCGCACGCACACATCCCTAGCAACTGCGTTGCGTGCGCGCGCGTCAGTCTCACGCGATGGGGGTTGAGCGCATGTGCAGTGCTCAATTGTTAAAAGCTACCGCAGGACTGTTACTATATTTTGACCAATCATGGGCTGAACGGGGCTGGATCAATGCTGGTTCAGGGGCCATTTATTCGCTTGATCTTTGAAGCCGGTCCATTATCACCGTTAATGACCGGCCACGTGATCGAGTCTCGACCAATCAGAAACCATCAACTCTCCAAGGTATTTATTAATAGTCAATCATAAGTCAATTGTAAGTCAATCATAAGGCAATCATAAGGCAATCATAAGTCAATCAAAAGGCAATCATAAGTCAGAAATAAGTCGATCATAAGGCAATCATAAGGCAGTCAAGCATAAGTCAGACATAAGTCAATCATAACTCAGTCTTAAGTCGGTCATAAGTCAATCATAAATCAATCATAAATCAATCATAAATCAATCATAAGTCAATCATAAGTCACCCAGTCTCAACTCTTGTGACATCTCCTGTAGGCCCTAATACTTGTGTCATTGTGCTTGTGTTTCACCTGTGATTGGAAAGATTTCCATATACGAAGTTCACTCAACACTCTGTGTACAAACCCTATGAGAGTGGACTGAAAAATTCTAAGTGTTTTCTAAGAAAATGCTTTTATTTTCTCACTGCTCAAATTGACTTTGATGACATGAAATTGCTATCTGGGGGCTTGTTAGTCAAAAGAGAGGAAAATGAGTGAACTTCGCCCTGTGATTTATTCCATTTCAACTCTGAACCCAACATGGTCTGGAACTCACTTGTGTTGTCGTCTTTTTCTTTAAGAGATCACAGCGCCCTCTGTTGTCGAGTGCATGCACCGATTCGCCCAGTCCACCAGTCGGAGATTGAGCAACCTTGCCAGCGTCTTTCTGCAGGTCAGTTCAATGTGTCGGCTTTGAAAATAGACCATATCATCCCCCGTTGTGCCCCCCCCCTCCCCCAATAAGACTTTTCCCGATTGTATTTCAACTCGTGGATTGCTTGTTATTTTGTTCATGTAGGATTACTGTACTGATGCACAGAGGCAGCAAGCAGCGGAATCTAGCGGGTGTGGAGATTCCCACATTGTTGGTATCCCACTTCCAAGTTCTGATAATCCCTCATCAGCTGATGCATGACAGGATGCGCGGAATTTGGAGTCGATCGATCATCTGTGACGTACAAGAATTTTTGGCATTATGAGTCCAGGGCAGATTGAAACCCCTCGAGCAGAGAAAATAATTAGGACATATTTACTTACTCTTTAATAATGATAAGTTGGGAGGGTAATCATCCTTACTGGCAGCTGAGAAGCTGAATTGCGAAGGACGCGGCTACAACGTGGTCGAGCCGCTGGCACGTAAAGGCGCCTGGGCAGCCAGCCACATCGACCCATATATGACCACAGAGCACAGCCAGAGATCGAAAGTCTTCGATTTTTCCAGAGGGAGGTAAACTGGAGAGCCCGGAGGAAAAACCCTCGTGGCACAGGGGATAACCAACGCACAACTCTACTCACATGTGGTCAGCAGCCGGGACTCGAACCAGGGCCACAGTGGCGAGAGGCAAGCGCCTTACGCACTAGCCACCCATGCCACCCAAGCCAACAAAACTTTTCCAAAACTTCCCACGAGGTGAAGATGAACTCTGCAGTATTTCACCAGCCAACTTTCATGTCTTGATTCAAGTTTCTTCAGAGTAATCTCAAACAGTTTCACAGCAGACAATACGAAGCCAAGTGATGTTAATTTGAAGGAGAAAGACTTGACATGATACATGTCCAACTTTTCCTAAAGATGGATCTTTTACTTTAGTCTGGTGGCACAAATGGGGAGAAATGTATAGAACTAGAGACTAGGTACCATGTTTCTTTTGACATTCTTTAGACATGCAGTACTAAAATGTGTTGGGCTGGTTTATTTGTGTTTTTGTTTAAAAAAATACTGAACACCTTGAGAGAAATGTATATTTCTTATTAAAATATTTATATAATTGTGAAGTACATGTATCTTTCAAAGCTGTTGTATTTTAAAATAAAATTGTCCGATTGGAAATGCAAACATAATGTGTAGCAAAACTAGTGTGATATGTATGTACTCCCATTTCTAGATGTTGAAGGACAGCAAGAATCCCTGCCAGATGGATTTGAGGGACACAGTTTAAGATTTTGTATACATAAATGGATCCTACCATGTTATAGTTCAAAACATGGAAAGAATGTAGTATCCAGATGCCACTTCAGCAGTTGTGTGCAAAGTCTATGGAGAGTCAAGAACATTTTCAAATACATGGATTTCCTAACAAAATTGGAAATAATGTAGTGCTTATATAGCGCTTTATACCAAAGGTCTCGAAGCTCTTCACAATTATTACCCCTGCTCATTCGGCCAGGAGACCAGTTTTTTGCAGCAGCTCGAGATCAGCGCATTCTGGTCTCTACCTTCACAGGTACCCATTTATACTCCCGAGTGGCGAGAGGCAATTGTAGTAAAGTGTCTTGCCCAAGACCACAAGCACCCCCATACCATGGCGTGCATGTTCAGCATCGTAACCATTAGACAACTGGACCACAGCACTTCACTATTTCTCAGTCACCCATTTGTGTCCTTTGAAATTTTTTTTACAATGACTGACCTTCATTGATGATAGGGCCTATAAATTATGATGAAAAAAGGTTGGCGAGGATGTAACATTCTTTCCCAAAATGTTTGCTGCTCACTTTCTGGCATGTTGGGGTGAATTTGTGAAATGACAAATGACAACAATGAAAAACTATAACAACCAGTTATATACTTGTACATCACCAACTATTTTATTCACTATCTGCCGTTGTCGGAATCAGATCAGATCCAATTCAATGCGGATGTAACAAATAGAACTTTACAAATGTTGAAGTCACAGAGATTGTTGGGTTGATCCTGCATTTACCGGCATACGAAAGCCGTCAAGTTGGGTATTGTATATCAATGTGCCGATGTATACGTAGACTGGACGCTCCTGCCGGGAACCGTTGATCATGATGTGTTATGCTTATGTGGAAAGCGTGCCTGTAACCGGTTTAGGACTTCGCCCCTCCTGCTGCACCGCGCTGCTTGGGTTTCGGCTTAGTTCCCTCGCGGAAACCATTCCTGGAAGAACAAGACAAAATATGATACGTGTCACATTTACAAACATCAAAAATGTCACTGAACATGCAACGGGGTTCGAACCTGCAATCTCCATAATGCCTTACTGAAGCTCAACCAACTAAGCTGTCCAATCCCATGTTGCAAAAGATCTCCCAATTTTGTCAATGTCTGTTATGACTACATGTACTGTCTTGTTACACAGACAACTGGGAGAGCGCCTACATTAGGGCTGGATAGATTTAGTTTGTAGAGTGCCAGTAGGGTGTTCCAGCAATCGCAGCTTCGAATCCAGTGCTATTTGTTCAACGTTTCTCTTGATTTAAAAAAAAACAACCTAATAGAGGTTAAATGGAATGAGTCTCAGCTAGACCATTGTGGGATCGGTCAGGCAGTCATCACAACACTGTAAGAGTGGTGCATGGTTTCTCATCATCGACTCAAAAATCAAGTAAAAGAAGAAATCAAAGTTTTGGTCCAGCTTGTATTCTGGCTACAACTCCAAGGGGGGGGGGGGGAATATTTGAAGACTTAACTCCTATTTCTGTACGGCCAATTCAGCGACGGCCATTTTCCGCGGTGGTACTGGGGTGGCACAAGGCAATATTCTCAAACGTTTGCCTCAGATTATATAAATTGGCGTTCCTGAAGCAGGACACGAACCTTTTAAGTTACAGTCCCCCAGTTTATAATCTGAAACATGGAAGCAAAGCTAGTGACAAACCCGAGGATTCAAAACACCACAAGAGAAGGATGTTGGGGATTTTTTGGACTTCTGGTACTTCGAGATTCATTTTGACAGAGACTACTTACTTGAATCTCCTGTGCACAACCTTCATGTAGCGCATGCGGCCAGTCCCTGTGGTCTTTCGTCTCTTTGCCTTCATGCTCCAGTTATCTGTTACGAGATGAAAACAAAAATTTGATTTTGACAAGTCAGACTTTCTGGCATACTTTCCGCATATAAGAATTGTAAAAAAAACCTGCAGTCACCAAACTCCCAAAACCTCTTGGGAAAACTAATCAACTGAGTGGTACACTTTGAAGATTTTTATGTAAAAAAAAAGAAAATGTATATAGAATTAAGCCAGGTGAGTCTCAGCCAGACTATTTGTGGGTTTGTCATGCAGTCATCACAAGAATGTATGAATGGTGCACGTTGTCATCATTGACTCGGTGGCTTATTAAAATCTAACCTTCCAAAATTCTCCAAATTCCTAATTGCAAAATGGAGGATTTTGCAGGATTGAGGCTACACGGCAAGAATGTGTGGCTTTTTTGGAGGATGCACTGTGTCAAGGTCTTGGGCCAGACCTTGTTTTGTTTATGCTCAGCCAAGCATAAATTGAGGCCTAGATTATACTTGAAATCCTCCACACTGCTCCAGGATGTCACTGGCTCCTTGTGAAGCCTCATTCAACTATAGGTCTCTCTCAAAGACGGACATCTCTGTAGGAGAACTGCAACTGCATATTTTACGTAATCAAGCACGCATTGTGCAGTGTTGAAAATTGTTCCAAACATGTGCGCTTGTTGCTCAAATTGTGTTCGAAATGTTGCAGCTGATGCGCATTAAAACTTGGCCAAGTATTATTAAATTCAGACTCCCCTCCAAAAAAATTTGGGAAAAGATGTTATCACTTACAACTACGGATCTTTTTGGCTGGATAGCCACAGCTGGCACATCGTTTCTTCTGGATGTGGTAGCTACGGCGCCCACACCGCCGGCAGAACGTGTGGGTCTTGTTGTGCCGTTTACCAAAACTGGATGTACCCTTGGTCTAGAAAGGGGACGATAACACAAGATGTAACAGTGACTTGTGAGGATATTCAATGATATGAAAAAATGACATACAAGACAATTTTATCTTCATATCAATCAACTTTTGCTTAGGTCTGCAGGTCATGTTATATAAACTCGTTTATATGAGCAAATGGAAAGAATGTTGCATCCTGACGCCACTTTTTTTTCATTGTAAATTATTATCTCAATGAAGGTCAGTCATTGCAAAATGTCGAAAAGAAATGAATCTGGGGCCGAGAAAAATTTCCAGTTTTGTTAGAAAATACTTTGAAAATGCAGTCTACTCTCCATACACTTTGTACACAACCAAAGATGTGGCGTCTGGGTACTAAAACATTCTTTCCGAGCAATTTGGTGACAATTTTTAATATTGACAATCTTTTCGTCCGTCTGTTGAATTGAAATGGAAATTACATTGCCTGGCTTAAGTAAACACTTAAGTTCAGGCTTCGGTTTGGTCAATCAATGAAAAATGTCAATGAAAATGCAAAGTACGAAAAGAACGTTGCATTCTGACGCCACTTTTTTTTCATCATATATCATCTCAATGAAGGTCAGTCATTGCAACATTGTTGAAAAGACCACTGTCACTGAAGATATGAATCTGGGACTGAGAATGAGATTGAGAAACATTTCCAATTTTGTCAGACATGAATAAAATCTAGAAGTTGTGTCTGGATACTACATTCTTCAGTTCTTTCCCAAATCACTTCCAAATTACAGACGACAGAGGAAAGGCTACACAATACCTCCAACAAGATGAAAGTCTCGTAAGTTTGTATGTAAAGACTAAAGTCATATCCTGTTTTGCACGAAAATGGGCACATTGGCCTACAGAGTACAGTGTATGTACGTTACGTTGATGCTATAATGTTTTCTGACCCAGATTTCATCATACCAAAATTGTATTAAAACAATATCATCTGTAACAAATTGACAAAGCTTTCCTATTCAATTTAAAAGAGATTCTACATGAGTAGTTTTTCTTAAAACTGTAAGATGCGGTGGATTTTAAAGGCAACTATCACGATCCTCACCATTTTGGACACGGCTTTCCAATGAAGAGGACGTGCGCCCTCTGTTGGTTGAACTTTCTCAACTCCAGCGCGTCACATCATGAATATGCACAATGCTAAAAATAGATGAACAACAAAACCAATCCACGTGGAAGTGGACACGTACGTGGATATTGTGTCATAACCCGCAAAGTGCTAAAAAGGACGGGCCTATAAAAAGAAGGGCTGTATATTTCCACTTCATTTTTATCAGCGATTTCTGAGCAGGACATTATATCTTCAAAAAGTCACAGATTTTGTACCGGTTCTTTTTATAGTTCTGGAGATATATTTTCGGTTCGAAAAACGACAGGTTTACTATTACATGCAACTCTAGTCTTGTTGCCATACATCAGAACTCTTTTCTAATTAGTCATCACAGGAAGAGTTTATAAAACAATTTGTTAAAGATGTTTGGCGATTCCACGACACTTGCTGACGTTCGTCAGATCCTGGCCAAACAGGCTGCCGCGGCCGAAAGCAACGAGGCGTCTCTGTCGGTGCTGGGACTGGAACATTTGGAAACGACTTTGCTGAATTCCTTGAGGTATCTGGTGAACATGAGCCGCGATTCGACGCCGGCTGATGAGAGAGGCCACGAAGACGTGGAGGCGGGGCTTGTGACGCCGGAGGGGCGGGGAGATGGAGAGAGGGATCGGGAGTGTTTGAATCGTGAGGAGGAGCATGTGTGTGAAATAGAAGGTCATTCAGGGGATTGTCGTAGTGGCGAACAGGAAGAAACGGAGTTGAATCTAATGGAATTGCCAGTAAGTTAAAGTTTTAATCTATCCATTTATTTGCCCCTTACTTTTTGCTTCATTTTTGAGAAATTCTTGAGGATAAGGCCAAGGTAGTCCCACTAACTGGGTCGCTAGATCTCCTTTTTTTGACATTTGGGATCAATTGTTTTACAATTAAAAGTGATTAACTTTTCTGATGTACTCCTCTACTGAATAAGAAGTCTTGCAAGACGCTCGCTTATAGTTCTGAGGGCAACTTCACTAAGGAAGTTCAGAATTTGAACAAGATTTGTTGTTAATATAATGTTGCTTTTGTCATTTTTAAATGCAACATTTAGCAGTATACTGTTGACCCAGTAACTGGGGCGCTAGAACTCCTTTCTTCGAATTTTGACTTTGGCTAGTACAATGTTACCGACAAGCCAAAATTCGGGGAAAAAAGGAGTTCAACGCCCCAGTTACTGGGTCTACGGGTATAATGTATTTATTGTTTCCCTAAATAATCTGTCACACCCCCCCCAAAAATGTGGTCTTAATACTTTTTTTCTCCTGATAAGTCTTTACAAGATAAATTTCACTTTGGGTAATATTTTGTCATCTCATTTTGGGCATGACTCCCCCCCCCCCATCGAGGCCTGTGCCAAATTGCTCAGAATTTACACTTTTTATTCACAGGTCCAAGTTCTTCTGCACATTTTCTCTTTCCTCGACGCTCCTGATGTTGCCAGTGTTGGCGGCACTTGTCGTCAGTGTTACAGCCTCTGTGCGGATCAGATTCTGTGGAGAGACGCGCTGGAGAAGGACAAGCTAAGATGGAGGCAGGTCGGCCATCGGTCCAACCCCGCACTGTATGAGGCAGTGAACTCTGACCTCACATACAAGGAAATGTGAGTCAATTGAATTGTGGGGACACATATAAATGAAGAAGTTACTAGTAGTGTTAGGAACATGTACAGAATTTGTATTTAAGTCCATCACAAAAGTCAAATCACAAGTCCATCACAAGTCAAGTAACAACTTCACTAACAAGTCATATCACAAGTCAAATCACAAGTCAAATCACAAGTCCATCACAAGTCAAATCACTAGTCAAATCACAAGTCCATCACAAGTCAAATCACTAGTCAAATCACAAGTCAAATCACAAGTCAAATCACAAGTCAAATCACAAGTCCATCACTAGTCAAATCACTAGTCAAATCACAAGTCAAATCACTAGTCAAATCACAAGTCAAATCACAAGTCCATCACAAGTCAAATCACAAGTCAAATCACAAGTCAAATCACTAGTCACATCACAAGTCAAATCATAATTCAAATCACTAGTCAAATCACAAGTCCATCACTAGTCAAATTACTAGACCATCACAAGTAAAATCACAAGTTAAAAAATGAAACAAATGTACACCGATAGTCATGTGAAAGAACAGTGTTTTTCTTACAGGAAATTACTAAAAAGTAAAGGATGGAGTAGATGTTAAGTAAGCACAAGAATTTTTTGTAATAAAATCATGTAAACTTTCAGAAGGCATTTATCATTTGTCAAATCTTTACGAAACAAGCCTTTTTTTAAATTAGCTTTTTGAGAACAAACCTTTATTCCTAACAATATAACAAATCCCAAATCGAAAGATGTGTACCAAATCATGATTGTAAGTTTACAAGTGTATACTAATCTATTGAAATTTAACTGAGTATATCATGTATTATTGCAATTTTCCAACTACAATGTATTAACTATGGTTTTGACACTATGATGGACAACTATTTTACAATTTTTTTAAAATTATTTTGTTTCCCTAAAATCATTTATTTGACAGTTACATGAGATGCAGTCCCGAATTCCAGCGTGAGTCGTCAGGTTTCAACCTCATGCGACTGCCCCAACTTCTCTGGTCATTCATCCCCCACAAGCCTCCCAAAGTCGTCATGTTCGGTCCGGGGCTCGAATCCAACTCCACCACCCTGGTCCGCAAGTTCCTTGGCAGCGGCACCGATATCTTCAAGGTGCTAGGAGTGTTTCCGGCACTCTTACCCGGTAGTTGTACTTTTCTCCTGTACTTTTTCCTCATTTTGTCTAAAAATTATCGTTAATTTTTAATTCAGCCACACAAACATTTTGGGTGGTTGCTAAAAAATTGATAGTCACAGATATTCAAAAGAAACAAAGATCCCAATTGAAAAAAAAATTCCAATATTTTTTTTTATTTCCAAGTTTAACATATGCTGGGACCATTATATTTTAAAGAGGTAATAAAAATTTGAATATTCAACAGATTTCCTTATGAATATTGATTTTCCTAGGTGTTGGGACAGGCTTCAGAGTGTCAGTAAACAACAAGCTGGATATGAGGCTGATAACGCTGTACTCCGGTACAAAGTAAGTACAGTGTCTACACAATTTCCTAGCTGTACACACAAAAACTTTAAGAAAGACAGTAACTTTTCAAAATTGCAATCTAAAAGAATGACTGTGCATTGGATCATGTACTTTTGCATGTACATGGAAATTTTTACACATCGAAGCGTTCTGTGGTTACTGTGGCGCATGATGTGATGCGACAGTTTCTGATTGTGAAAAATGACATCCTGTCACTTCCTTTGGTATGACGTCCTAGACAATTATCAAATCCTGTAAGATAAATTGAACGTTTAACTGGAAATGCACTGATCGCTGCAGTGATTAGTGAAGGCTACGCGACACCAACATCCTGTATTATCTTTCTTAACATGTCGTCACTTTGAAGTATGTCATTACAGAAATAGACATGACACAGTTTGGTTTACCAGTGTCCCACATCATAGGATATCATTGGAGAATTGGAGATGATACTGTCAAATTAAAAAAAAGTCTGAAAAGTGGACAAATGTCTGAAAGATGCATTTCTGAACAATCTCATGCCTGAGAATTCCAAAGAAAAGTAGTCAGAAATGTATACTGCCTTTAAGTTAGAAACAACAGAAATTAACTTTAGATAACCCTGAATTTATTATGCAAATGATTTTTTTGGGTGGGGTCACTCACAGTTACATTCCATGTAACAGTTAATTCACTGGAAAAGAATCTATACATTAACATGAAATTGGAAATAATGAGAATTTCATTCCTCAAAGGTAATATACAACATTTGCAAACACACACACACACACACAAAACTACCAAATTATTATGAAATACATTACTTGACTGTAACTTAAGTGAATAATAGTCTCAAACATCTTGTGAAATCATGGCACCTGGTGTGCTGTCATTTTGACTGTTTTTAAATACTAGCTGCCGCAATTGACCAAATTTAGTCCACATTTTGTTTGCAATCGGTTACACATCCGTGAAAGGGTGCAAGCCAGCTAATCTGGTTCCCTGACCTGACAATTCTTGGACCTTTATGAATTGCTCCGTTTCCTCTAAAGTAGAGTCAGGGAACCAGACTACCTGAACAGCATGTTTTCTGGGTTAATTTTTCCAGCATCTGTGAACACAACAGGTCAGTGTAACAATATTTGCTATAAAATACTAACCCCCCTAAATCCATTCATTTTTGAAAATTGCAGCAAAAGCAAATGTTGTATATTCCCTTTAAAAAGAAATGCACATTAATTTTATTTATCCAAGTTGGGAATGGACTTGGGTTGACTTCTTATATTTTTAATCAACTGTTCATCTAGGAGAGACCGGGAAAACCCTGAACTTGGAGCGACCAGAGCCCAGCGTAACAAACTCCTGCAACAGGCATCCCCCGGGGGTAGCCCCCAGGGTGGGGAGGCAGGTGGGAGGGGAGATGACGACGACGCCGCGTACGAACCCACGTCGACAATCAAGGAGCTGTGCCGGAACGTGGATGCTTTCATCTTTGTGGTGGACGCCATGGTGGGATCGGAAACATGTAAGATCATAATTATCAGATTATAGCAGATTATAAGTAGCTGTAGGCTCAGTGCACAAGTACCCTCAGCGCAAGTTGGGGAGTGACATTCTAAAGGAATTGGCGACGATGCCTGACGTTCAAGCGAAGATGCGATGGCTTTGTGAACATTTAGAATAAAATAAGTCATGTGTAGTTCGCGCTATAGCCAGTACCAGCCTCGACTCCATGGGCACGTGCGCTTTCATTCAGTAACCCCTGATCGTAAGGAATACGTAAATGACACCGACCGGCTATTCAGAGTGCACTGCACGCGTATTTCAAAGACTGTACACCCTATATGCGCTCTGCACGTCACGTCACGTACACAATTTTTTTCAAGTCTGCACGATGCCAGTACGATATGGATTCTGAAAGCCTTGTTTTTCACACACAAAAAAACACCCTGTATCTTTCAAAATTGTCAGCACTGCATCGAGCGTTGAATACATCAACTGCAGTCGTTAATGTGCCACTACTTGGCACCGGGCAGTGCTATCATATAGGATTACCCTGTAACGCTAATGTACAGGCTAAATCTGGCCCACTGTGCAGACCAGATGCTTGAAAAGACTTCCAGTGAAAAGCCGTTCTGAACTGAACTGAATTTTGTGCATTCTAGGATCTGCTTTACTACTCTTACCTTGTTTTTTTGTTTCTACATTATTTGACAGTAGCAATTGATTCTCAACCGGAACTCTTTGCCTTGATGAACGACCGATGGACCTCTCAGAAGTGCCCCCTTGTCATTCTGTCCTGCGTGCCCAACACAGAGACAGCCAGAGTGCCGTGTGTGACGATGGCCAAGGAACTAGCCCTCCACAAACTCAACAGAGCGTGGAAGGTAAGCGGCCGATCCATTTTCTATAATTCATTTTTCTGGCATTTGCCAAAACTGTATACATTTTGTGTTTGTTTTTTTTCTTCTTGACCACAAAATGCTGTAGACTTTGTATTTTTTCCCAGCATGTTATGAAAACAAAGTTGCCTGAGTTCTTCTTGATATTTCCCTGAGAACTTTCCAAAACTCCAGGAGAAATATGTTCACATATAAATGAGGTTGCTGGGAAGTTAAGAGGTGGTTGCAGCAAAGCAACTAACGTACTGATAACACACGAGCAACTCGTTGACAAGTGATGGCCTCCCTTTGCCCCTTACAACCATCCTTTCCTCAACATATGCAGCAGAGATGCACATACATGCCGAACTGGCAAAAGCCTTTCTCTTCTGGGCCGCTGTCAAATTCCCTAAGTTTTCCCTGATTTTTGTTGTTTTCCCAAATTCCCTGAGTTTTTCCCGACTGGAAAAATGGAAACTCACTTTCAAGGATTTCCAGAATGGCTGGAAACCCTGTTTGTACAATTATTTTCAAACAACACAGTCTTTGTTTACTTCTTCCGCCTGTTTCATTCAACTTACAAAATTTTATTTGGAAAGTAAATCTCTTTATGGTTTAATCCTTTTTTCCCCTGCAGATGTTTGATGTTGATGTGTCTGACTTGTCAGGAGTGGTCGAGGCTGTCACCTGGTTGGTGGAAAGTGCACAAGGGAGGTAGCTCTCAGCCAATCGCGGCACAGCTTTCATAAGGAACACATTATTTCTCTACAAGAAGCTGTCCCCTGGGTGGTGGAAAGTGCACAAGGGAGGTAGCTCTCAGCCAATCGCAGCACAACTTTCACAGGGAACACCCTGTATAAAGAAGCTATCACCTGGTTGGTGGAAAGTGCACACGGGAGGTAGCTCTCAGCCAACCACAGCACAGCTTTCATAAGGAACACCCGGTATTTCTTTTATACAAGAAGCTGTCACCTGGTTGGTGGAAAGTGTACAAGGGAGGTAGCTCTAAACCAATCACAGCACAGCTTTCACAAAGAATATGCCTTATTTTTCTAAGGGAAAAAGTTCAACTGTAAATAATATAAAGTTTATTATTTAATGTTCAGTCAAGTTTGTGTATTTGGATATAAATTTATCATTCAGCTAATAGAATAAAATGTATTCCCGAGATGTTTTTCCAGCAAGTTTTAGGGGAAGTTTGTAAGCTATTTTAAATTAATGATCAGAATTCAGGTTTCATGTTTGAGTATTTTTTTAAGTGTAATAAATACTTGGATAAACATGCACTTCGGTGAAATGTACAATTGCTTTTACAAAATGTGTATATCTTAATGTTAACGTTGTTAATTTAAAATAAAGTATTTAAAAAGACCAAAAGAGGCATCCAATAAAGGCTAGATCATACTCTGCGCCAAGGTGAATGCGAATGTGCGCCACCACAGCAAGTATGCGCGCTGCAAATTTCGCAAAAGTTGAACACGTTCCAATTCTGGTGAATTTTGCAGAGAATGTGTCCTGACATCACATTTGCTTTGCATTCGCATTTATGTGAAGTACCGGTATGACCCAACCTTAAAGATAATACAACATTTGCAAACGTCATAAAAACAAAATTACCCCATTATTATGAAATACCTTACTTGACTTCAAGTGAATAATTGTCTCAAACATCCTGTGAAATCATGGCACCTGGTGTCATGTCGTTTTCAAGAAAAGTGGAATTTTGAATCAATATTCTAATGATGGTCAGCCGACCATTTTTTTTGCTTCCCCAAATACTACCCCCAATTTACCAAATTTAGTCCCCATTTTGTCTGCAATTGTTTCCACATTCGTGAATGGGTGCAAGCCAGCTAGTCTGGTTCCCCTGATTTAACAATTCCCCGACATCTATAAATTGCTGTATTTTGTCACGGAACCAGACTACAAGAACAGCATTTTTTTCTTGTTTTTTTCAGCATCTGTGAACACAATTTCTTAATAAATGGGTCAGTGTAACAATATTTGCTATATAATATTAACCCCCAACCCATCCATTTCTGAGCATTACAGCAAAAGCAAAATGTTGTATATTACCTCAAGTGAATGCTTCATGTTTACAATGAGTTTAATACCATACCTCTGTTTGAAAGAAAAAATTGTGAATTCATGAAAACTTTACAGAAGTTCAGCCTTAAATTGTTCAACAAACACTGCCATTATGTGGCCTGATCAAATTAGGTTTTGCCCTTCACTGCCATTATGTTGGTTCTTTGTAGCCGCCATAAACATGACTGAGATTATTTATCGGTCTCAAATTAACCCATATCAGTCCCTGTACTGCCCCAAACTGCCCTGCCTGTTACTCCCTGTACCGCCCCAAACTGCCCTGCCTGTTACTCCCTGTACCGCCCCAAACTGCCCTGCCTGTTACTTCCTGTACAGCCCCAAACTGCCCTGCCTGTTACTTCCTGAACAACCCCAAACTGCCCTGCCTGTTACTCCCTGTACTATCTAGCAAGCGAGATATGCGTGTCGTCTGCACGTTTAGCGGATAGTGAGTGGCGTATGACGTCATACGTGCAGACGACACGCATATCTCGCTCGCTACACGTAAGTAAAAAACGGATACGGATAGCTAAACGTAAGTGTAAGCGTATCCGTTCGCTTGTGAAACCTCCCTAATATACAATGTAATACATTTAGTAATGGGTTGAGCACAGCTCTGGTTATTATCACAATCACACACCAATGCAGTAAGACAATTTTTGTATCAAAAAAGTGATACGTTCAAAATTGAAAAGTTTGTGACCAACTACGCAAATAAATCTCCAAAAAGATGATAAAGTAAAATGTTACTGAATTCAAATATGGAGTCCATAGGTTTGCACTGATTCAAATACTTTACAAAATACCATGAGAAAATGACATAATTGATGACTATACACACAGCCATAATCTTAATGTGTAACTTCAAATAACCAGAGAATTTACAATATTAACCAAACACAGCACCCCACAACAACATAAATATTACTAATGTACCAATACATTGGGTCTGAAAATCACGATATAAAAAACTAATAGACATGTATATGTATGTACATGTACTCACAAGTCATGTCTTGATTTGTTTATTAGTCACTATGTTACCATTCTGTGACATCATCGCATTTCCGCAATTAATATGCATTTATGCAAATCATTACCACAGGCTCTGACCTATCTGACACAACAAAAAATTTACTTAATGATTTTACTATTACTAAAGCTAAAACTATTATTAGTCACTTGGGAAGGTCCGTTTAAATTCTCATCGACAAGCCAGCTCGGCATTTCAACTACGCATGATAACGGTCATTCAGGATTATCGAACGCTCATCGAAGGCGCATGACGCTCGCATGGTCGCACGACGCTCGCGTGTTAATTACGAGCAGCAGGGGCATTCGCGTAACATCGCGTTGGCAATTTTATCCCGAATGACCTTTGACCTGGGCTACTTCATCGAGATACCGAACTGGCTTACTGAATGAGAGTTAGAAATTCTGGTTTTGCAGGCCACAAACACAGGGCCAAATTTTGTGGCCAAATTTCAAGGCCAAATTTCAAGGCCAAATTTCATGGCCAAATTTCATGGCCAAATTTCATGGCTCTGCTTACCGTTGGAGAAAAAAAAAATCCCCGCCAACCGTAGCAAAAGATTTCCCGCTTCCAGTAAGCGTATTTCACGGATAAGCAAGGACTGGGCCCAATTCCATAGCACTGCTTAACAGTAAGCAGAAAAGTTGTGCTAACTACAACAGAAAATCATGCTGCTGCTTAAGCACTATTTCATGCTAACGGTTGCGCGCGCATGGAGATTCTATTGTTACGTCACTGATTTTTAAGCAAAATTTTCTTCTGGGGTTAAGTGTGCTTTTGCTGTGCTTACTGCTTAACAGTCTCTATGAAATAGATGGAGGCTCGGTAAGCACAAAGTCGGCTGTTAAGCAGCGCTATGAAATTGGGCCCTGCTGGCTTGTTCACATGCATACATCTCTTAACTAAGGATTCTGCATTTTACGTACCTGGTAGTTAGCACAGAATTTCTTTGTGGCGTAGCAGAGCAATGCAATTTGGTCTCTGATAGACGTGCCACAAATGATGCTCACTGCAATTCATGTCCTGCCTTCTTGACAAAATCTCTCAAGACCTACCTGCGATGCCCATCCAAAACCAAATTTTTACAAAATATTGTTTACACCTCGTTTTGCAGAACCTCTGAGGCCACTTTCTGTATAACTTGCAGGGACATGGCGAGTTGGTCTTCGGTAGGGGCGATGTTGACAGCGACACGAATGCTGCCAAAAATAAATCAATAAATAAATAAGAAGTGTAAGATGATATGTTCTTGTGCACTTTTAGATGAACATTTGTCACATGTTATCAGTGCATGCTGCCCTCTAACGCCTGTAGAATTACTAGGCTATCAGCTTCGGTCCTGAAATTGGGCCATTGGTATCAAATGATCTAAAAGAGCAATGTTCATAGCGATTTTTTGCAAGGTATACACATCTAGAATTGTGAAATGCGTGATAGCTTTGTAGTGTGAGCGGTGGCCTTTTTTTTGGGGTGCTATCACTTTTTTTTTTCCAAAATGGCCCCCGATATGCTTGAACCGTATTAATTATGTTGTAACAAGCACGTTTTGGCTGCCATTTTTTAAAAACTGATAGCACCCAAAAAGCTTTTGTTTCTGACTTACCTTGGTGGTGGCAGGAATGCTTCTTCTTCTTCCAAGTAACATGCTGTGGTCAGTACTACCCCTTCATCCATAGCCTAAAAAAATCATGAAATATCAAGCATAGGAATTGACTTCAATCCGACACAATTCAAACACAAGACATTGGAAATGACATTACACATATTCCTGAGCAAATAATAATAATAAATAAGAATAACACCGGAGTCTTACATAGCGCACATATCTACCAACAATCAAGGCGCTGGGAATTATGGTTTTTTTTTTTTAAAGACAGGTATTAATGAAGTTTATGAAAAATATGAGACCCATTATGTAGCACCTTTATAAGGGTATACAAGGTGCTGCGGCGCATATTGCAGCCACTGCCAGAAACACCGGGGCAAACCCCTTCTCGTAGCGATGTGTTACTGGGTTCTTTAACGTGCATTACACAACACACAGGACCTACGGCTTTACGTCCCATCTGAAGGACAAAGCAATAATGGTAAAGCGCCGTGCCCAAGAGCACAAGCAACATATTCCCCGTCAGGATTCGAACCCATGTACCACGGCACACGAGTCGAACACCGTAACCATTGGACCACAGCACCCCACAAAAATGCAGTTCTCTCATTAGTCAATTTTCAAATGCCAAATGACAGCCACGCAGCTAACTCTCATAACGAGAACAGGTTATTGATAGTCTGCAACTCTGAGTGGACATACCATGTTCACAATAAGTTCAAGGAGTTTCATGATCTCTTGTCTAGTCTTGTCTCCCGTCTCTCGTACATACAGATGCTTGATAGGGGCCACAGGGTCACCGGCCACCTTCATCTCAGCAATCCTGTAATTGACAAAGATTCGTTGTCATGCTTAAACCCCTTAAGCACGGGTTATAATGGGGACATTCCTCCACACATAGAGCAAGTGGCCCGCATGACTGCACAGCCTTTGTGTGGTAGCGGGACTGCACAAAAGCAGCAGCTGTGGAACTACCCACTAGCCTTGTACCACGGCATACCACAGCTGGCAACTGCATTCCAATGAGGATTAGCGGCCGCGGCCATGACCGCTTCCCGTGCGCATGGGGTTAAAGAAAATTCAAGTGTTTCAATGTTAAAAAAAAATTTCGAAATTGAAAATAAATAAATATATTTTTGTCAATTTCAGGGCGGAAATAAGCAGAATTTGCTCATAAGTAAACATACTTCTATTGAAATTCACCCCGAAGATTACCGCATGGCTACAAAGGTGGTGGTATCCGTGCCATGGTTTATGGGGCAGGGCTGAATGGATCGGCCTATTAAAGGGAATGTACAACATTTGCTTTTGCTGCAATTTTCAGAAATAAATGGATTTGGAGATTAAAGTATGTTATATAGCAAACATTTTAAACTGACATGTTTCGCGTTTTGGGCTTGTAGATTCTGGAAAAACCAAGAAAACCAATCATGTTCTTGAAGTCTGGTTCCCTGACTCCACTTAAGATGAAATGGAGCAATGAATAGACTTTGGGGAATCGTTAGGTCAAAGAATCAGTTTAGCAGGCTTGTACCCCTTCGCAGGTGTGTAATCAATTGCAAAGAAAATGCAGAATAACTAAATTAGAAATATCAGGAGCAGTTTTTTTAAAAATTGCCAGTTTTCTCCAACGCTGGTCGGCCGACCAGCGTTGGAAAAATACAATTTTTCTTGAAAATGTCAGCACACCAGGAGCCAAGATTTTGCAGGATGCTTTAAACTGTCATTCCCTAACAGACTAGTTCAGTCGTGATAATTTGATCATTTTGTTTTTTGATGTTTGCAAATGTTGTATCTTCCCTCTAACTTGGTACCGGGGCATGTGTTATACAAAGTTGTTTAATCCATTGTACTTACTTGGCCAGTTCTTCGTGGACGTGCTCGGACCGTGCCTGGAGCCTAGAGGCCATCGTTGGGTCATCCTCCATGATATCCAACGCCGCCATGGCGGCTGATGCGAGCATGGGAGGCAGTGAGGCCGAGAAGCAGTAGCCCAGACCGGACAAACGCTGGGATGCAAACAATGGGAACAAAAGTCTTCTATTTACTCATTGCATTTTTTTTTAACTAGGGGTATACCTCAACAGTTTCAAATTGCCTGCCTGTGTAACATACTAATTATTCATAATAAGTAAGTCTGTCACAAGCCAATGTGGCCAGTCAGGCCAGCGTTTATCTCAAGTTTCAATAGCATGAAATGACAGAGAATATTTATATTTCCCCCTGGACTGGATGCTAGTCCATCGCAGGTTACTGCCCAGCTAATGCCGGTACTAATTTATACTCTTGGGTGGTGAGAGGCAAGTGGGGATTGAGTGGCTTGCCCAAGGACATGGTCAACAACTGGCCCTCTGATCATGAGTCACAAACCCTATTCATAATACAAAATCTCAAAATAGGCGTGAGATTGGGAAAATCTATATACATGTAAACCTTTATAGGTAAAAATGCCTTTATTGCAAAACCTCCTGAATTCCTGATTTCAAAAATCCTGAAAGCAGGAAAAATCTTGACAACTTTTTTTTTTAAATCAGGAAAAAAATCCTGACAAATTTCACCCCTGCTAAAAACTTTGATAAGGTTAATACAAAGAAAACTACTGCACGTACAGTTGTTCAAAAAAATGTTCTTGTACAAATCTGTTTGTGAATTTAAAAACATTTATAACCTGCTGACTACAGGAGGAGCAAAAGTCCTTTTAAGGAAAAACAAGGGGACATTTGTCAACTTTGTTTATTTGTATATCAGCATATTATACAAATATTGACTGCTTCGAGTGGTGTAGTTAGACTAGCAATCCTATTTTTCCCAAGGAGAAGCCGAGGAAAAATAGAATGCTCCATGGATCACCAGGGAGGCTAACTTTATTACACCACAAAAAAGCAGTCAATATTTGTTTTATAACACCTCTACCTCAGATTCTGCTTGATTTTAAGCGATAGGGCCTAACTGATTAATTTCATCTAAACACAATTAAAAAGTACTGCTATTTGAATACGAAATTAGTTACAAAATTTACTTGCACTTTTCCAAACTACCCCTGCACAAAATGTTTTAACCCAGCTCCGTAGCGCTGGCACTGGGGAACAATACGAAAGTACACGTAGACAATTAGCAGTTTGTTTTTGGCCTTGGGTGTCGTACATTAATAAATGACCAACCCCTCCCTCTCCGAAAAAAGTGGAAAAAAGTCATACATGTACATGTATTTAAAAAAAGTATGATCCTGTTTTAAGCATCCTTCGTCGACCTCAGATGCAAAAAAAACCTGCCATTGAAAAAACATATAATGGCCATGGACGTACCAGTCTCCACAACAAATGATCCAACTTTGTGAAAATCAATTCCTACTTGGAGGCAGTTACCGTATCAGCATTTAATTTTATCCTTCTTCTGTCAAATGACCTCATATTACCCTCGGAAACCCTCCCCGAAATCAATACAAGGCTAGTTCTCGTTTTGCGTGCCAAAGTTGATATATCCCAATCCCAACGCTCGCCTTCAAAAAAATCAATGCACACACAAGGTGACTGACAACACTCAATTAGTCTTCATGGTAATATTGATTCTATCCTATTGTTTTTGCTGGCATTCACCAGTGATTTCATGACCGTGACTGGTCAGTGGTGTTCTATTTTTAAGTACGTGCTAAAGGACTGTCAGTCAGTGACATTGGCCGGCTCTTGGAGGAACAGTGGAGCATGTTCCATCAGTTGTTGGCTGTACCAACGGGTGGGCAACATCGGCTGGTAAAATGCATTGCACGTTGGGGAGTTGGCACTCTTTGGACGTAGTCAAAGCAGTAGCTGGCTCAACAGACTACAGTGTATGTCACATAATGAGTACAACACAAGCTTACGATTACACCGTGTCGGAGAATCTGTTGTGAGCTGGTGTGGTCCTGTCCTGAAAAAGGATCGGTTAGCAAGAAGTTTCGGAGAGTATGCTCTGTCTGTCTGTCTTTGGGAAAACGGACTGTGCTTGCTAATATGGAAACGTGCAACCGGGTTGATTAGTTCAAACACAAACTCATTTGGATAAAGAGTCTGAGAACGGGCAGTCACATTGTTGTCCTTATGACCTTTGACACGGGTCAACTCATTTACATTTCCCACGTGCACCTGATAATTAGGCACTGCATTCAAGCTGCATGTATGCCGGTTGATTGGCCAATGAGACTACAGGAAAGTATTATTGTCGAGACACATAGCAACCAATAGGGTTTTAGAAGGTTTGAGGGCGTGGCCTGTCCTCATGAGATCAAGTCTCTAGTCTAAAGGTTGAGGAGCTTCAACGGTACAACGTTTTGAGGTACTCAGAGAAAAGACTTAATAGACACAAACGATACATCATCAGAAAATGGGATTGGAGTGCAGTACTCTATTGAAAACTTTGTTTACGAACCGGGTTATTCTGAAACTCAGGCTTGGACACAAGATGGCGTTCAATGTCAAATGTATCCAAAGATTTGTTCAGATCTTCTGGATTGTTGCACTAGTCAGGTCTGAAACAGTCTGCGGAACACAATGCGGAAGGCTGCAAATTGACTTCTTCGCTTTGGAAAACCGTGCTCTGGGATGCTGCACCTATCGGGAGATGACGGTACGCTCGCCTGTGATCTGTGTCAGCTACTGTCATTCGGACAAGTACTGTCAATCTGTCAATTATTACAGACTGAATTACAGTTGTGAGCTGAACAATGCTACACGGTTTCAGTATCCCGATGAGTTTGTTGTTGTGAATGGCAGCGTGTACTTTGATGGAGACAGGAATCAGCTGTCAGAACGTCCTAGTTCTGCATACCAATCCTCGGTGCATCCTAGCTCTGGATCTTCTACATCCCAGGCCTGGGAACCAACCACGTCCGATTCTTCAGTTCCTTCTGTGCCACAAGAGCCTGCAATTTCTTCAGTAACTATCCCAACTGTGCCTTCAACTACAACCCCAACTTCTGTCAAAAACAGCAGTTGCGCCACTGCGCAGGATGTCGGTCAAGGCAGTGGCATCTCTACAATATACCCTCCAAGTTTCAACAATGGACTACAGGTCTACTGCGACACGGAAACTGACGGCGGGGGATGGATCGTTATGCAGCGGCGCCAGGACGGAAGCGTCAGTTTTAACCGCAACTGGGTGGAATTCGAAACCTTCTTTGGCGATCTGAATGGTGAGTTTTGGCTGGGGAATGACGTGCTTCGCGCATTGACGTCGTCACAGACCTGGCAGCTGCACGTTGATTTGGAGGACTGGGACGGCGCGACAGCGTGGGCCGAGTACGCCGAGTTCAGCGTGACGGGCGAGCTGTACACCCTCCACGTGGGTTCCTGCAACGGTACGGCGGGGGATTCACTGCAACACCACGACGGGATCCCGTTCACGACCATCGATGCCGATAACGACAACCACACAGAGAACTGCGCAGACGCCAGCGGCGGAGGCTGGTGGTACGACAAATGCCAGAAGGCGAACCTCAACGGGAAATTCTTCCCATACGGAAAGGGCGCCGGCGTTAAAGACGGCATACAATGGAAGGCGTGGAAAGGGAATAACTACTCCTTGAAAAAATGCAGCATGAAGATTCGAGCAATCATGTAAGCTGTTGATAAGATGGGATTGTGCAGATTTCTTCAATGTGAAGAGAAAAAATTACAAAAAAACCCCAATAACTGTCACAGACTCCGTGCAGAATATTCGATGACTACACACGTGGGGTACTCATGAGAGTTTTACATGTAGCTGGTCAATAAATCAGGTTTACCACAAGTATTCACCTGGGATGAAAGTCGGTTCAAACCATAGAGCTATATTAAATTACTAGAGCGCTGACTCATGTACAAAGTGATGCCTGCTGGGCGCATCCATGTTTGTGCATAAACCTATGGAAAACCCAACATTTTGTACGGCTTTTGTATGGCTATTTGCATATCTGCGTTTGTATTCTATACAGGTGCGTTACCGAAGCCGATACGCACAAAACCGAAATGCACAATCAGCAAATGAGCGTTTCATTTTGATCTATGCAAAGAGCACAACGCGTGTGCGTATCCAGTGCAGATGCTTTTTGCCGTGACATTTTTTGAACCGTCATGACGCGCTTAAGTTGTTTGTGTATGTTCTACATGTACTTGAGAGTTGCATTTAGAGTACACTTTTTAAATTCAATTCATCTAATTTCATTGTGTTCTACAAACACGCACATGAATTCAAAATGTCTGTGCCCAGAACAGCTTCAAAGCGTCTCCGCGCACAAGAATGAGGAGTTAGCACTCTAGTAATTTAAATTTTAAGCACCAAATCACTTATACTTTTCAAGTTACGGAATTTTAAACAAAACCACCGTTTTAAAGTTCTGTCCACGGATTACAAAAAAGGTGCACATGCGTTCTTTCAGCAAAACGAAAACAATTCACACGCATCCCTATGTGATTTGTTTTCGTTTTGCTGAAAGAACACTTGCCGTCTTGTGATCCGTGGACAGAACTTTAAAACGGTGGTTGTGTTTAAAATTCCGTAACTTGAAAAGTACATGAGTGATTTGAATGATTCTTGCACTAAAAGAAAGATTATGAATTGGGCTTTCATATCCTAGATTTTGAAAGTGCTACATGCAGAACTTCACTGAAATAACAGTCCCAACAATTGGGTTTCGCTTTTTTTGACTCTGTATTTCAATGTTGTTGATTGAAAAATCAGATCATTCGATGCAACAGACACTTTTAGAGTAAATGAAGTAGTTAAATAATTAACAAAAAGAAAGTACGAGTACATGTATGTAGATGCAAAGCTGGCTTAGGTTTGAGTTGGGTATGGTGACACACATCCCTTGCCATATAAAAATGTTCAACTGATCAATCAAGTTCGGGCAAGGATCATCGGTTGACTATTGGTTGAATTGTGACGTAACTTACACCTGTGTACTCCCGGTACCAGCCTCGACTCCCTGGTCGCATGTGTGTTCCTTCACTAACCCCTGGCCGTAATGTACATGTAAACGATGCTGATATTCAAATGATATTCAAAACTGCGCGATGCCCGTACGATATGCACTATGGCAGCCTCGTTTTTCGCTAAAAAAAACCCCTGTATCTGCGGTTGTCAGGTTGTAAAGGGATGAAAGGGGTACGTACCTTTAAAACAAATCTTTGCTAAATAACGCAACGTCCAAACCTTATGTTTGAAAGCATTGATTTTTCAAAAACACAACTTTCAACATTTTAAAGATGGCGTCGGCGCGTAAAACGGATACACTGCAGCCAAATTATAATGTGCCATATTTTGACACATTTAAATAACACAATTCCAGGGGATGAGATCGCGCAAGGCATGATGGGAAACAATATGGCGCAGCAAGATCTGGTACCCATGGGAACAAGGTTGTACTGGTACATGTAATAGCAAGCACCTCTAGTCAAACGATGGTAAACACGTCATCACAAAACCTCTGGATCCTGGCTCCCTGCAGGCCCGGATTACCCAATAGGCACAGTAGGCACCGTCCTTCATTCGAGTGAAGTTAATGGTCCAACTATGGTCAACCGTACTCCTCGCCTGAACTTTCTCAACACAGTCACCAAATGTAGTATCTTAAAAATAGGATGACCTTTTTATTAAGCATCCTCGGTAGGTCGACCTCAGATGCAAAAATAAACCGCAATCAATGCCCAGATATGGCCATGGACGTACCTGTCTCCGCAACAAACGATCCAACTTTGTGAAAATCAATTCCTACTCGGAGGCAGTTATACAACACTCTAATCATTTTAGCCTTAATTTTGTCAAATAACCTCATATTCCCCTCGGAAACCCTCCCCGAAATCAATACAAGGCTCGGCCTCATTCTGCGTGCAAAATTTGTATATCCCAACGCTCCTTCAAAAATCAATGCAAACACAAGGTAGGTGGCCTAAGGCAGGCAACAATTAATTAGTCTTCATGGTAATATTGATTCTATCCTATATTTGGCTGGCATTCAGCAGTGATTTCATGACCGTGACTGGTCAGTGGTGTTCTGTAGGTACAGCGGAGCCTGTTGCATCAGTTGTTGGCTGTACCAACAGGTGGGCAACATCGGCCGGTTAAATGCATCGCACGTTTTAGGAGTTGGAACTCTTTGGATGCAGACAAAGCCGTAGCTGGCTCATTGGAATCAAAGTCATGTAGTTTGCGCTACATGACTTTCAGTGTACACCATGTAGGAGAATCTGCGGTCAGCTCGTGTGGTCCTGAGAACGGAGCAGTTAACAAGAAGTTTCGAAGAGTATGCTCTGTCTGTCTTCGGGAACAGACTGTACTTGCAAATATGGAAACATGCTACCGAGGATTTTGAGCAGCTGCAACAGGTTGATTAGTTCAAACACAGACTCATTTGGATAAAGAGTCTGAGAACGGGCAGTCACATTGTTGTCTTTATGACCTTTGATACAGGGTCAACTCATTTACATTTCTGCGTGCACCTGATGAGGTACTGCATTCAGGCTGCACGTATATTTGCCAGTCAGACTACAGGAAAGTAGTACATGTATCGTCAACACACATAGCAACCAATAGGATTTTAGAAGGTTTGAGGGCGTGGCCGGTCCTCATAAAATCAGGCCTCCAGTCTAAAGGTTGATGCGTTTCAACAGTAAAACGCTTTGAGGTACTCCGTAAAGTGACTTCATACATGTAGGTCTACACAAACGCTTCATCTTCAGAAAATGGGATTGTAGTGCAGTACTCCATTGAAAACTTTGTTTACGAACCGGATTATTCTGAAACTCAGGCTTGGACACAAGATGGCGTTCAATGTCAAATGTATCCTAACATTTGTTCAGATCTTCTGGATTATTGTACTAGTCAGGTCTGAAACAGTCCGCGGAACACAATGCGGAAAGCTGCAAATTGAATTCTTCGCTGTGGAAAACCGCGCTCTGCGATGCTGCACCTATCGGGAGATGACAGCGCGCTCTCACGTGATCTGTGTCAGCTACTGTCACTCCGACAAAGTCTGTCAATCTGTTAATTATTACAGACTGAATTACAGTTGTGAGCTAAACAATGCTACAAGGTTTCAGTATCTTGATGACTTTGTTGTTGTGGATGGCAGCGTGTACTTTGATGGAGACAGGATTCAGGTTTCAGAATCTCCAAGTCCTACATCCCCGGAGCATCCTACATCGCCACAAACCTCAAGTCTGCCTCACTCTGTATCTTCTATATCTCACAACTCTGAACCGACCACGTCTGATTATTCGGTTCCTTCTACGCTACAACCTTCGACGATGTCTCCTGCAACTCTCCCCTCTGTTCCTGCAACAACTCGCTACACAAAGCCACCAACTACGTCAGACTCTTCAGATGTTTCTCTGCCACAAGCTTCTACGATTTCTTCTATCCCTCTCCCAACTGAGCCTTCTACATCTCGTGATTCTAAGCCTTCGACTACACCTGACTTTTCGGTTACTTCTATGCCACAAGATCCTGCGATACCTTCAACAGCTCTGCCAACTTGGCCTTCTACATCTCTCGATTCTAAACCTTCCACTACACCTGACTTCTCGGTTACTTCTATGCCACAACATTCGGCGATGTCTCCTACAACTCTCACCTCTGTTCCTGCAACAACTCGCTACACAAAGCCACCAACTACGTCCGACTATTCAGATGTTTCTACGCCACAAACAGCTCCTTCAACAGCTCTGCCAACTTGGCCTTCTACATCTCGCAATTCTAAGCCTTCAACTACACCTGACTTTTCGGTTACTTCTATGCCACAAGATCCTGCGATACCTTCAACAGCTCTGCCAACTTGGCCTTCTACATCTCGCGATTCTAGGCCTTCGACTTCACCTGACTTTTCAGTTACCTCAACGCCACAAGATCCTGCGATTTTCTCCACAATTCTCCCGACTGTGCCTTCGACTTCGTCTCTGACTACTGTGGAGACTGTAGCCGAATATGACAGCTGTACCGCTGCGCAGGATGCCGGTCAAGGCAGTGGCATCTTCACTGTATTTCCTCCGGGTTTCGCCAATGGATTACAGGTCTACTGCGACACGGAAACTGACGGCGGGGGATGGATCACCGTTCAGAGGCGACAAGACGGCAACGTCAGTTTCAACCGCAACTGGGCTGAATTCGAAACCTTCTTTGGCGATCTTACTGGCGAATTTTGGCTGGGGAACGACGTGCTTCGCGCGTTGACATCGTCACAGACGTGGCAGCTGCGCGTTGATTTGGAGGACTGGGATGGCGCGACAGTGTGGGCCGAGTACGCAGCGTTTAGCGTGACAGGCGCGCTGTACACCCTGCATGTGGGTTCCTACACCGGTACAGCGCGGGATTCCTTGAAACACCAAGACGGGATGCCGTTTACGACAACTGATGCCGATAACGACAACCACAGAGACAATTGCGCGGATGCCAGCGGCGGAGGCTGGTGGTACGACAAATGCCAGAAGGCGAACCTCAACGGGAAATACTTCCCATACGGAGCGGGCGCTGGCGTTAAAGACGGCATACAATGGAGGGCGTGGAAAGGGGCTAATTATTCCTTGAAAAAATGCAGCATGAAAATTCGACCAATCACGTAAGCAGTTGATAAAACAGGATTGTAGATATTTTTTTTTATCAACGTGAATGGCAAAATTTCATGAAGAGAGAAACTTTGTGTAAATTGTCACCCTGCACAACAGTATATAGCACTGCACATGTGTCATATTCTACATGTTTAAGCTTGTCAACAATGGGGCCAATTTCATAGAGCTGCTTAAGCACAAAATTTGCTTAAGCACAAAAACGTCTTGCTTAATAAAATCAGGTTACCGGCCAAAACTCCATGCGATTGTTATGCTAAGTAAACAACAGCTAAATACCAGTCACAAGCAATGTACATCACATGGAGTTTTGGCCGGTAACCTAATTTTACTAAGCAATGTTTTTTCGTGCTTAAGCAAATTTTCTGCTTAAGCAGCTCTATGAAATTGGGCCGAGCTCAGGTTGAAGACAGCAATTAATAGAGACGTAAGTGGCCTCTACCATGTTTGCAGAAAAGTTAGGGTATATAGAAGCACATGTACACATCTACATGTGTATGGTGTCAATACTATGTCTACAATGGTTAAACAAGCCTGAAGTGTAGTTACAGGAATTATGTTCCTTGATGTACAGTTTTAGTGGACTGTACTTACGGTATTGTATAAAAAAACTTTTATTTTACAAGAGAAATTGTGAGTCAATTGTGAACAGAATTATAGCTACTTCATGGAATAGCCCTGAATAATAGCGATTGTGGAGTTTAGGACACCTCAGTCCAACGGTGTGAAATTCGACAACGTTTGATTGCAAATGGTTGTCTGTTTTAGAGGATAAATATTGGTGAGGTTTTTGTGGCGCAGCGTACGTACTCCTCGAGGCTAGTCTTCATTTACACGACGGGGAACTGAACACCCCGGCCAAAGTAATAACAAAGTTAATTTGACTCACAAAAATAAATGCCAGAGCTGAAATGGTGCAGCCTCTGTAAAATCTCAGCGTGAAATACCTGACTTTATGATAAAGGTTTACCCACCTGGTGATCAACAACGTATTTTGAGCCCACACAAAATCCTCCCAGTGTGCCCAGAGAATTCTCCATGCATGCTGAGATCAGGTCAATATCTGTCACCTGTAACAAAGCAAATCCATTTGAATAATTGAATATTCATATTTTAAAAAAATTTGCATTCAATTAAATATTTACATTTTCTGTTGTAGCCACAATAATTTAACTTCAATGGTTTTCAGGGAATCAAAAAAGTCTGAGTACTATAACTGATATCACAATTTGTGTCTTTTTTTAGCAATAGTTTATTTCCGAAGACCCCAATAATAAAGAAAATTTAAAAGTTAACAGGGAATGTACCACATTTGCTTTGTATATACTGTACTTAATATAAATATGCTTAGTTATCGCAAGATCTAAAGAAGTGATACAGATATTAATCTTCAAGTAAACTTTAATCCTCGATCCTGATTGGTCGATCCATGGCAACAAGCCGTGCTACATATAACCATGTAGCAGGGCCACCGTCTATGCCACACTCCACGTGTTGTGCTACTCCAAGATGCGTGCGCCATTCCGTACAAACACGCACGTGTATAGGATAAGCGCTGACGTTTGTGTACAGCGTGCATTTCATCTTTATTGTGTGTCAAGTTTGCTTGAAGATAAATTCGTTATCACGCTCACGCTTGTGGAACGCGGAAAATGTAGTGTGTCTGTGTCTCACATACCACTCGGCCTCGTGGTATGTGGGACACAGACGCACTACATTATTTCGTGTTCCGCTCACGCTCGTTAGCAGTTAGCAAGTTTTGTCTCAAACGTGTTACAAAAAAAAAAACCAGTAGAGAGAGAGGGCTCCATTGGACAACGGGTGATACTCGGGCTAAATCTTTGTAGGCGTTTCATTGAAAATATGCCCCATCGGACAATCGTACCCTCAGCATGATGAGACATTGTTTTCAATAAAATTCCCGCCAAAAAAATTACCAACGAAACAATCTATGGGCACAGGGTACTCTACTTGGAGGAAAATGTGTTCAAAAGTCCGCCAGACCTCTCTCTTTGTAAGTTTTGAGGGGACATTTTGTGCAATGCAGAATGACGTCGTAGAAACATGTATGAGTACTGATGTGTATGAGACTTGTAGGTTTGCATGGTGGACGTGAACCAAGCATGAAAGGTTTACGGTAACACCATTTGTGATGCAATCAAGCTAAATGAATCGTCGGGAACTTTTATTTGGAGATTCAGGCCAAACAAGGGCCACTTCATCACATCACTTCATCACATCTCTTGGTGTTCCGACTTCCATAATTTTTGAACTAAAGATGGTACCAGCATGCGGTTTTCACAGCAGTTATGCTGAGATTGTGCTCTTTTCAAATCTGTAGAAGAAAAACAAAATGACCAGGGTCGACAAGCGAATCATTTAGCTTGATTGCATCACATTTGCATTCTCCCTCTAGTTGTGTGGTTCTGAGAAGCACCAGTTGTTTTAACTCATCGTTTCAAACAGTGTGCTCTAATCGAGTCTCCTGATGAGGAACAGAGCATACTGTTCGAAACGTCCAGTTACAACTGGTTCTTCTCAGAACCACACAACTCAAGAGAGATAAAATTCACGTGTTGTTACCGCAAACCTTAGTACTGATGTGACTGCTCTTTTGACCAAACTTACATCGATTCCAAAGTGTTCCGTGACGCCGTGCCCAGTTTTCCCGAGCACGCCGAACGACATGCTCTCATCCAGAAAGATGCGCACTTTGTACTTGTATTTGAATTCCACCTGAAAATGAAATGTAAATAAGAAAAGAAAAATTGGGGAAAAAAATGAAGTAGAATTCTGTTTAGTTTTACCAAATTAAAGTATAGGATTCTTTAAGTTATTCAGAATGGGGTGGAGAAGTTATGCGTCCCCATATAAAAAACTAATGACAATTACAAATATAGAGAGTAACTAATGAAAATAAATAAGTAAATAAATAGTAAATGTTGAGATATATCTTACCAGTTTGTTGATGGGAGTGATTTGTCCAGTGTTGGTGTACAGGCCCTCTACAACCATGAACTTGCGTGTCTTCTTTGCTTTCTTGGGGTTCTGATCAAGGCAAAATGAAAATAGGGAAAACTTAAGTCACTAGAGTTGTGATCGACTTGTGATTTGACTTATGATTAGCTTGTGACTGGACACATGCTTTGGCTTGTGACGGGACTTGTGATGGGCCTTTGACCCTGAGTTGCAATGAACTTGTGATGAACTTACACATTTGGCATGTGACTGGACTTGAGATTGACTTGTGATTGACTTGTGATTGACTTGTGATTGACTTGTGACTGACTTGTGATTGACTTGTGACTGACTTGTGACTGACTTGTGACTGACTTGTGATTGACTTGTGACTGACTTGTGACTGACTTGTGATTGACTTGTGATTGACTTGTGATTGACATGTGACTGACTTGTGATTGACTTGTGATTGACTTGTGATTGACTTGTGACTGACTTGTGATTGACTTGTGATTGACTTGTGACAGACTTGTGATTGACTTGTGACTGACTTGTGATTGACTTGTGATTGACTTGTGTTTGTTTTAACCAGTTGGCGACAGTGGGCATTATAACATGCACTGGCTGTTTTTATACACAAGCAAGGCTGACGGGTTAAGATGTCAAGATTATCTGGACTGGCCTCCAGGTGACGTCTAAACACGCTTATCCCTCGTGCCTTTTGTTCATACACACAAAGTCCGTGAAGTCTGTGGAGGCGGACCGTGTGTTGATCTTGAATTGGCCGTTGTGCATGGCCTATTGTTGAACAGCTTATGCTCCAGTGCACACCCCGGAGTATTAAAACATATGAGGTCTCGGCAAGAAATAATGTACAAATACTGTTGAAATGACTCTTGCGAATCGGTATTTGTGGCGTTTGGTTGTGTATCAGAAGTTGGCTGGGAAATTTTGCCTTTTGCGAAAATCGAAGTTTCTGCAAAAATAATCCCGGCGCGAAGTGGTTAAGACCTGACTTGTGACTGACTTGCGACTGCTTTATTGCCTGACTGTGAGTGACTTGCCACTGTTATGTGGGCTCACTCGTGACAGACTGGTCTAACCTTCTTATCTTCAATAACTTGCTCTTCCAGGAGTCGTTCAAGATCCTCCATGTCGTTGTGTTTGAAGAACTTGATCTGGCTACGCGACGCTAGCAAGCCCATCTGCACAGCAAAGCAGACTCCTTCGTCACTGAAAAAAAGAATATAGTAAAACGTAACACTTTGTGCCAAACAACGGAATTTCGTTCATCCGAGTAGATTCAGCAATCTCACCCAAATTGGTCAGGCGTCTGTACCAGTAGGCAGGAGGTCATAGGCTCGAGTCCCAGCCAAAAAGCTGGTGATTTCTTTTGTCATAAGATTTAGGACAGCACTGAACATAAAGGCAAAAACCAATTAAGGCCCAAAAAAACCGGTCTCTGGTCAGCGCGCGCGTCGATTTTAATCATGCGCGGTCTACCTTTTTTCTTTTTTTTTCAAATTAACATGGAAGCTACAACAGCGCCCTCTATTGCCGCGCCTCCTCAAATTTTTGTACCAAGGAGCACCAAGGAATGGGGAAATTGCACCAAGGCAAATGATAAAGGGCACCAAGGCAAATTATGGAGGACACCAATGTATAATGAGGACACAAAAAAGCAAAATAGTACCCACCTTGTCTGTACAATACAAGCTTGAAAAAAAAAAAAGCCACCAAAAAACCCCCCAAAAAAACGCGTCGCCGCATCAATTCCGGAAGTTCGGTCTGACCAGAGACCGACTATTTTTTGGGGGGCCCAACCTAGAAAAAATCCAAGTAACGGTTGCTTTCTGCAAGGTCAGGCATTGTTAGTGTTTCTCCAAGACTGAGATTCTAAATTTGCCGCACTTGTCAAGACTTTGTATGTGGTCTTGTGCATATGACATTTTAAACCGATTTTAAACCAGCCAGTTTAATACCCCAACATTTTTAAAGTTGAAAAACACAACAAGATAGCTTCCATTTGGTGTGTTTTGGTCTAAAAGGTGTGTTTGGTCTTGAGAATTGAACTCTACGGACTGAGGAGTTTTTGCAAACATTAATAAAAAATTAAATAAAAAAACCACAAGATTGGCATTATTTGGCCCACAGGATAGCTCATGAACGACATGGGAATTCCCAGTATAAACCGCTATTGGATGATCTAAGTACAAAAAACGTTTCAAGTAAAATTATTTTCTTACCAGAAGATAATGTCTCCCCTCTTTGAGTAGGCTGGGATGCAGCTGGCTACGGTTGAGAAGCCATAGGAGTATAGGATGCCCATCTCCATGCCGAAGAACTTGGCGATTCGCTCTTCAAAATCCAAGTGAACATCTAAATAGGAAAGAAAAAGGCATGAATGGAACCCCGAATTAATGGTTTGCAGAAAATAAGAAAAACGCTACAATCAGTTCAGCAATCAAGGGTCAACTAAAATTGTTTGAGCTTGTAAGTTTCTTAACTAGCAGGAATTGAGTAAATCTGAAGTTAATTATCAGCCAATCTGAAGTCAATCATAAGCCAATCACAAGCCCTCTCAAATCAATAAAAAGCCAATCTGAATAAAAAGCCAATCTGAAGTTAATCACAAGCCAATTTCAAGTCAATCACAAACAATCTCAAGTCCGTCTCAAATCAATCACAAGCCAATCACAAGTCAATCACAAGCCAATCTCAAGTCAATCTCAAGCCAATTTCAATTCAATCACAAGTCAATCACAAGTCAATCACAAGTCAATCACAAGTCAATCACAAGCCAATCACAAGTCAATCACACGTCAATCTCAAGTCAATCGCAAGTCAATCACAAGCCCATCTCAAATCAATCACAAGCCAATCACAAGTCAATCACAAGCCAATCTTAAGTCAATCACAAGCCAATCTCAAATCAATCACAAGCCAATCACAAGCCAATCCCAAGCCAATCTCAAGTCAATTACAAGTCAACTGCAAGCCAGTCACAAGCCAATCAAACAATTCTGGTCAATGCTTCGAAATCATTCATTTCTCTCAGCTTACAAAATGGAGGATTCTTACCCATTGTTCCATAGAATCCACGAGGACCACAAGTCCCAACGCCATACTTCTTAAGACTCTTCACTGCAGCATCCTATCATTGAATAAATTGGGGCGAAAATTCAAATGTCAAAAGCTCCTGAAAATCAGACCTAACAGATTGGGGTGGTTTGTGGAGGGAGTAAAGCATAACTCTCTCTGTGGGGTGGGGAGGGGTTTGGCCTATACTGGGAAGGGTGGGCAGGAATTGGCCTTACCTTCCTGTAAGTGGGTGGGTAGGGAGGGGTTGAGCCTAGCTGGGTAGGATTGGATTGGTTGGGAGTAACTGGGTGGGGGTGGGGAGGGGTCCAGTCTTACAGGGTGGGATAGGGAGGGGGTTGGGTCTTACTGGGTGGGGTGGGGAGGGATCTGGCCTAATTGGGTGGGGTTGGGTAGGGAAGGGTTGGGCCTTACTAGGTGGGGTGGGGTGGGAAGGGATTGGGTCTTACTAGGTGGGGGTGGGGTGGGGTGGGGAGGGGTTGGGCCTTACTAGGTGGGGGTGAGGTGGGAAAGGATTGGGTCTTACTAGGTGGGGGTGGGGTGGGGTGGGGAGGGGTTGGGCCTTACTAGGTGGGGGTGAGGTGGGAAAGGATTGGGTCTTACTAGGTGGGGTGAGTTGGGGAGGGGTTGGGTCTTACTAGGTGGGGTTGAGGTGGGGAGGGGTTGGGTCTTACTGGGTGGTACAGGGAGGGTTGGGGTCTGGCCTAACTGGGTGGGGTGGAGAGGGGTTGGGCCCAACTGGGTGGGAATTGGAGGGATTGCAATATGAATCATTGGTAGATTCTGTAGGAGTACTTTCTACTATTTTCTTTCGTCGCAACCTACCGCTGTCTCTTTCCTTCCCAGCATTCCAAGAAAATTGAACGTGCCGAGGTTTATTCCCTGTTTGCCGTCCACAGTCAGCATGCTTCCACCTTGCCTGTTCAAATGAAAATGTTGCCTTTGTAAATAGTGTTCTACAGGGGAAAATGTTTGTGTCAAATCTATATGGCTGCATGAAACTACTAAACTAATATTTCTAGGCGGACTGGTTGAGATTTCAGTCCATCGCACGTTACTACCTAGCTAATGTCAGTACCCATTTATACTCATGAGTAGAGAGGGGCAGGTAGGGGTGAAGTGGCGTGCCAAAGGACATAACATTTGGTCAGTGGTTTGATTCAAACCCTGACCATCTGATCATGAGTCACGAACCCAAACCACGCTCAGCGGAACATCCATAGAACGGGCCCCATGCACGAGTTGGCCATTTTTGTCGAGTTCCCTGAATGCATTTAATAAATTGTTAACTGTTGAATGTGAAGGCGCCCGACTATTAGTACAGCCTTAGTTTACGGCCGTTTCTTTTTTAAATCTGGCTTAAAACATTAGGGAATGTTTAATTACAAATTTTAAATTATTCATTGAAGCAGACTTGAATTAATTAGTAATTTACCTGCTTTCATTTCTCTTCGCAATTTAAAAAAAATAAAAATTTTACCTCACTTTCAATTCAATATGGCTGACTTGTGCATAAGGCCCATACGGTCTTGACCAAAAGAAAAAAATGGAACCCCTAAATGTTGTACTTACTGTGTGACTGTCCTGTATTTGATGGGCTCATAGTCATCGGGCAGTTTGGGGACTAAAGGTTCTGGGGTCCACTCCTCAATCAGTTGATCCTTTTCCTGAGGTAAAAAAGTTTGAACACAAGGCAGGAGAAAGAATGAACTCTAAACTTTTTGCTAAGAACTATCCTGTACAGGCATGCAACTGGGAAGTCACAAAAAAGAGAGGAAATTCACATCTTTCCAAGACTTTGTACAGTGTTTTTCTATTTTCAATGGCAAACTTGAGAAGTAAAAAAAGAGGAAATCAGCTGATCCGAGGAAAAGTTGCATGCCTGCCTGTATGCTCCTAAATTCACCAATGAACAGAAAACCAAGGGCAGGTTCTTTGCACCTTCTAAGTTTCAAGGAGCATCAAGCCTTATGTAGAGTGATTGTTTATTCCACAGTATTTTATAGGCTTTTATTAGCCATGATTGGGCAGTTTTGGGACGAAAATTAAGAGGCAAATTCCACCAGATGGAGAAATGGAGGAGTTGCGATTATTGTGAAAGAAGCGATTGCTTGGGTAAGTGAATCCATACGCGGAACATCAGGCCCAATAGGCCGTTTGCGAGTTAAATTTGAATAAAATCTGGAACGCTGACTTAACCCAATGCTTTGCACGTGTTAACTTTGCATTCTCCCGACAAAAGAGACTGTTACTATATCACATGATTCGGGGCAAGCCTTATGCTAGCAAGGTGTCTTTGTGCCATTCTCACCCATTGTGAACGATGTATTGGTGCTGAGCGTCTCTTACGTAACTTTGCAAGAGCTTGCCCTGAATCATTGTGATTAGCAACAGTGTCTTTGGTCTGGAGAATTCACAGTTAAAATGTGCCAAGCATTCTGAGCAAGTCAGTGTCAAGTCAAATTTAAATCCCAAAGGGTATAGGTCACTCGCAAATGGCTTATTATTCTGATGGCCGAGGCACAGTGACTGGCCATAGACTGGGGCTAGGCCAAAAATTTGGGACTCTCCATACTGTGTATGAGAGTCCCAAAACTTAAGATAGTAAAAAACATGCAATACAAGAAAATAGACTGGCACATGAAACAAATAGTCTAACACCGCTTCAGTAACTGCATCAATCAACTGTGCCAAAAGAAACATCTGGTACCTAGCCCAAAACGACACACTTTCGATAGTCATGCCACCAGACTATTGAAGGGTCAATCTTTTAAAACAGTTGGATATGTACATGTACCAGTCTAGTCTTAGGCTTCAAATTGAAATTACTTGGCTTCACTCTCAGTCTCAGGAGCGAAATGTTGAAGAAAAGTCTCCTTTAACCCTGACTCCCTAGGCCTTTTTGCTAGGATGTAGCCTCAATCCTGCAAAATCCTCCAATTGGCCTCATGGAAAAATAGCATATAGCTTCAATCCTGCAAATTCCACCGGTTTCTTGAATATGGTCCATGGAGGGGTGACCACTGCCTGAATCCTGCAAAATGCTCCGGCTATGACTGTCAATAGACTGAGGCAGAGGCAGTGACATCCTGGAGCAGTGCGGAGGATGTCAAGTATAATCAAGGACTAAATTTATGCACGGCTGAGCATAAACAACACAAGGTCCGGCCCAAGACCTTGACACAGTGCGTACTCCGAAATCAGCAACGCACTTTGGCCATGTAACCTCAATCCTGCAAATTCCTCCAATTTGCAAAAAGGATTTTGGAGGATTCAGGGCGGTTAGGGTTAAGAATTGAACTGAGACCTCAAACTTGGCTGGTGAAATACTGAGGACCTTGTCTTTGCGTCATGAACATTTTGGAGAGTTTTGTTGGCTAAAGAGTGAGTAAAGTTGGCATGATTTTGATTTACACGTTTTTTTTCTGCACTTGAAGGTCCCAGTCTGGACTGGGGCTAGTACCTTTTCTGTCAGGACCATTTTGGATTGGATGGAGTAACTCTTGGACAGCAGGAGCCGGATGATGAATATAATCAGGAGACCTTCGAAGATGAGGTGGTACATCGGGGCCTGGGGAGATAACAAATCAATGCAATGAAGTTTTTTTTTTACTAATATTCAGAAAGCGATAACATGTCCAAAAAAAAATCAGCAGGAAAACACTGAACTTAGCAATTAGCAAATTAGGCCCTAGACCCGTGAACGTGGCTATATACATAGCCACGCTCCAGAGTTGTGTAGAAACACTCAACGCACAAGATTGTACGGGTACCCAGACAGCTCCTACCATTTCGCGCATGCATGACTCGGAGTACCAGCCTACCAAGCATGACCACAGAAAATCAAAAGTTTTGCTCGTCCGTTTGTAATGTCGAGGTCTTTTTTTCCCCTCAACTTTCTTGGCAAAGATGCAAGATCCTACGCTTGCATGAATTTACAGAACGCTTTCTATTTAAGTACTTAAACTACCGGCGAAAAGACATGCTGCATGACAATTTGGAGCGTATTTACGCGAGGCTGGGGCATGGCATTGTTATTGACGCCACGTTTACGGGTTTAATTCGGCCCCTACTGAGAAAACACTTAAAATTCTTCAGACCAGTCTCATAGTCATACTAGGGTTTGTGTACTTCCAGAACTGTAAGGTTTTTACAGACCTTACAGAAGATAATACTTGTGAAATATTGAGGCCGAACATTTCGTGACAGGAGAGTTAATTTGGAGGTTTGAAAAAAAATTGAGAATTTTCTGCTTCAGCAACTTCAGTCTTCAATTCATCTTTAGGTTTGTAAAACCCTTACAGTTCTGGAAGAAGTGTTTGTGCACAGGGTGTCAAGTGATGTCCAGGTATGGAATTCTTTCTGATGCCGCAGCGCGATGATCGGGGGCGGGGTAGCGCAGATCCACCGATCGCGCCCGACAACATGTGAACGAAAGATTCAATTGCAGGCAATGCACACATTGACTATGACGGGGGTCAGACAAGTCGACCGTTGAGACAACTCGACTCGGGACAAGTCGACCGTTGAGACAACTCGACCGTTGAGACAACTCGACCGTATGTGCGATAAATGGAAAGACAAGTCGACCGTTGAGACAAGTCGCCTCGCATGTTTTGGGCCTAGTTTCACTTTCAGGGATAAGTACCGGGGATTTTTACGGCGGCTGATCGCCGTTTGGGAGTGATGACACATGAGTTTTTTTGGTTGCATATAACAGACCCGATATAGCGCAGCATGATTGTCCGTGCACATCGTTCGTTTTTTTCAAGGTCACGTGCGCGCATCCCCGGTCAACGCGGCCGTACCGTGCACTGTGGCATCGTTTTTGCCGGGCCTGTGCGCCCATTTGCCGCGCCGGTCGATGTGCCCGCGTGCCGGGCACAGTCCTCGCGGGCGGGCGGGGCGCATCGGCCCGACGCGACGCCCTCTGTACATCGAGTATGCCCGCGCCGCACCCGTGATCGGTCTTGCCACAGATTTGTGCAACTTTTTCTGCTCCACGTGTATTCATTTCCATTAAGTCGAGCAGTCTCAACGGTCGAGTTGTCCCGAGTCGAGTTGTCTCAACGGTCGACCTGTCTCAACGGTCGAGTTATCTCAACGGTCGACTTGCCCCGAGTCGAGTTGTCTCAACGGTCGACTTGTCTGACATTCACTATGACTATGTTGACTCAACATGCTCAAGCAATCAAAATTCATGGCAACACGGAAAACATACCTGGCGAAACGCCTCAAAAAGTTCCCCAAAACTCCAAGGTTCTGGAGTTAGAAGTGGCAAAACGCTCTCCATGTTGTCGTTCATAACATCCGATTCACACACAGATCAAGGGAAATTCTCTAGTCTAATAAAACTTGAAAATAAATGAATTTAATTTACACTACTGAATCCACCGCTGATCTGTTGTGGTGTGACACGGAACATACGATTTCACATACGATTTGCTCAGACAGCTTTAGCATGATTCATTCTTTAAAAATAGGAGACTACAAAGTTCATTGGATAATTTTATTAAAACAAATAATATAAAACAGGTGTTCACAATTTAAAACTATTTTATCCTAAATTTGAATGCATTTTGTTTCAAAATAAAACTATTAAATTTTAAAATATTATTAGAAACGTGTACCTTTTTCCCACTCCTTTCGGCGAATGACCTTTTATTTCCCCCATTGTAAAAATGGTTTATTCCAATGAGTCATGTTCGACAGCAACGAGATGCGAAAAAACTGCACCTTGCATAAGTTATATAGCGCCACCATGTGTCAATATTTAGTTCATAATGACAACGCCTAAACAATATGATTGGTAACAAAAAATGGTTCAAGAATCATAATGTGTTCAAAATAGTCTTGGATAATGTAACCCCCCCCCCAAGTAAAAAGTACCAAAAGATACTGGAAAACAACATAAAAGCACTACGCATTCACCAGTTGTGAATGGGGGGGGGGGGAGGATGGGGCGGAGGCTGGCAACTTAACTAGGCAACTGAAGGGAATCATTTTTTAAAAAATCATTTTCAGGCTTGTGATCTACAGTGCCTAGGGCACTTCTGAGGAATTTATTTCATTTCATTTCATTTATCATTTCGCAGGTCAAATTTACTATGTGTACAATAATAATAATAATAATATTACGGACAGTATAGGCATCAATAAGTTAAAAACAAATACACATTAAACCATAAATTTAAAAAAAGACTAAGATCCTTACACCAAGATAATTGCACGCCCCTGCAGGATTGTTAAATAAGGACGAAATCACTATCAAGTAGCTCTCCCCATGGAGGAATAAATGCTCTCCCATAGCATGACTAAAAACCCTATTTTGCAAAAACACAAACATTATGACAGTCTTACACTGTAACACATAATCCCATGGGCAAAAAGACAAACCCTTCATAATTGCACAAATTCCTGGATTAAAAAAAAAAATTATATTGCACCATATTAACATAACAAGAAAAAGCAAGGAAAACACCCCCTAGATAACTTAAGATCAAACCAAAAAAAATCCTTAGTTTCATTACATTACCAGAAATGATTTATAATAATAACAATAGAATATTTACGTACAAAGTGCTATTTGTCAACAGACTCTACACCATACAACAGTATGGCGGGAGTGGAACAAGGAGGGTCCTCTCCAGAACCCCCTATGAACCTCCCCGCCCCCCCCCCCCCGCCCCCTCCGCCCCCCCCCCCCCCCCCCCCCCCACCCCGATCCGGCCGCCTATGCATCTTTTCACAAATCACACACGCCGCACGAATGACACGTACGTACACGTCGTACGGACGTACGGACGTATGCACGTATGTACGACCTGTGTCCGCATCGCGCGCACCGTACCGTACATACCGCTCGCACGCGCACCGTAGCGCGCCGCGCCGGCATATGATGCGGAATCTGTTCCATGCATATCATCAGCAGATGTACATCTGTATCAATCATACGGAAAAGCCCAGCATTTTAGGCACATTTTGTGTTCCATTTCAGGATTGTGATGTCGACCCGACATGGACCATATTCTTCACTGTTTGTCATATTTTTGTTATCGCTGTTTCAAGTCATAAACGGAGGTAAGCAAAAGATGAATAACTGGCCTTTTTTGTCACTGACCAACCTCAGTTACTGAGTTAGTTGATGGTTGGTCGCTCAATGTGTGTGATTGTGTAACATCATAACATGCATAGCTTTAATACAGTCATGACAGTGTACACAGTCATGAGCCGCCTGCAGGGCCAGTCCCTGTTCAGCTGTTTGTGCACAAACCTATGGAAAGTTTGAAAATGTGTCCAGCTTTTGTACAGCTTTTTTTGCAAATCAGCATTTAGGCCGTTGTGTTTATTTTTAGAAACCAATCTAATTCTAAACCAAACCAAGCTGAAACGTTAATAAATCATGTTACTCAGTCCCAGATTCATGCCTTTTCAACATTTTTGCAATTAGGGCCTACTGACCTTAAGTTTATTAAGATGATATTAAGCAAAAAAATTGGCGTCAGGTTGCAACATTCTTTCCAATGGGCATTTCTTTTTGTCCTGTCGTGTCTGTGATCTTAAGTTACGTGCTTAATATTATCAATCATATTCTACCATGATTCCATAGACTAGTTAAATTTCATTAGGAAATAAATAAGATCATATTTTGCAATTATATAGGGCTAGGGTCAGTATTTCAAGGCCGTGCATATTTCTTGTAGTAAACGTTAGTTTGCCGGTAGTTGCCGGAGGTCGTCTTTGATTCCTGATTTTTAGTAACAAACCTGTAATCTTTTCGGCCTGTAAATTTTATGATTTCAGAGACTGGTTATGGAGAACAGCTGTTTGGGTCATTTCGTCTGCGTCAGTACGGGTCGTATGGCGACGTGACGCTGTTTCATGTTGTCATCCCTCCACACTGTACGCGAGCTATGTGGGATGTGGTAGTACTGAAGATCCGAGAGGAATGCCCGAAGACTGAAGTCAACATGTAGGTAGTCGACAAATGATCAGATAAAACAGGCATCGCAATATGAAGGAGAGAGAACTTACTGTCAGACAGATATTTTCTGAAGTTCACCGTAACTTTTACAAACAAAAGTGTATATTTTTTTTCGTTCAGTTTAATTTTGTGTTCACTACTCTTTGTAGTGCACCAGCCAAAGTGACACATAAACTGCCCATAGCTGTACAGTTTACAGAAGTAAATATAAATTCTAATATGTTTTATATTTTTTGTACACACACATAAGGTTTCTCAAAAAAGTGAAATTCTGTTTCATAAGGTGGTTTTAGCCAATTCTGATCCGTTTTAATTTTTCAATTGAAACCAAAAAAAATCCAACCTTTGAACTTAATCAGAAAAGGTATTGCCAAAACTTCTTAATTTGAAAAAAAGTATCGTTACACCATTAGGCCAAAAAAAAAAATCTCCGGTTTCTGGTATGGAGCTTGCCCAAAAAGTGGTGCGGCGACGCGGCTTTTTTTTTTTTTTACCTGATTTATTTGCTTCAAATGTCGGCTGATGACTGCAAATGGTGCCCGACTAAACTTAGTGCAAATATATGGGAGTCCAGAGAGGCCACATAAAGCTTATTCTTGATCATAACCCAATCTAAAAACACGTGAAAATTGTGCAGCAGCAGGATTCCAGTCAAACCAGTGAGTTTGGCGGTTTTGAGACATCATCTTTCATTGAAAAAAAACCTTTTTCATTTTGCCGATGCGCATGGCTACGGCGACGCGCGCACATACCAGAAACCGGAGACTATTTTTTTTGGCCTTACAAGCCCTTGCAAGAAAACAAATTTCCATGCCTGAGTACAGAATTCATACTGTAATGTATTCTGCCATACTTGATGTCGTTTACGTTCACTTTGTTGTTGTTTATGTTTACATAATTTCAGAGCCATCCAGGCTGGGAGCCTTCCCTTGCCCAACCCTTACAACACCAGTTTCCCACTGCACACCAACACCCAGAGCCGACGCAATCTCAACCTGATCACCATGATGTCCAACCAGCCAGTCAGATTCACTGTTGGGACTCCGTCGGCCGGGGGTTGGTACATGGCGTCGTTCCTGCCCAAGAGCAAGGACAACAAGATCGAGCAGCAGGTCAGTACATATATTTAGTTCGCCCACAACCCTCTACTTGCCGTACGTGTTTTTGCCTAATGTCCGCATTGCACCTACATGTATCTCACTGACTGACTCCCCGACTCATGCACTGACTGACTGTCGCTTGTGGTTTAACTACACTGAGACCAGCTTTACGATGTTACGTCATGTAGTACCTTCACCACACTAGTCTGGCGCCGCTTGATGTACTTCTGGGTATGTAGACAATAAGTCAAGTCTCCATGTGAATGGCGAAAGTAGACTTTTTTCCCCACCACTTCTGCTTATTCTACAAAAATGGTAGCCATTATTAATCTATTATATTTTTATGGGGAATTCTTAATTTTTTTAAAGTCAGCGTTGGGGTGGGGGGTGCCACGCTAAAGGCCAATTTACACATACTTGACTTTGACGCTGACAATGTTGCGCGTTTTTTAAAAAATATACGCACAAATCAATGAGTGTGTTTGCATTTATGCGACTAAGTCGTGCATCTTATCACTCATTCATTTGTGCGTTTCTGTAAAAACGCCCGACACTGCCAGGTGATGTTGTCGTGTATGCATAAATTGGCCTTAACCCTAACCTCAATCCTCCAAAGTCCTCAGGGCAGTTTTGGAGGATTTTGGAGGATTGAGGCTCAATGCAACATACAATTTTGGAGGATTGTGGAGGATTGAGGGCACATGGACATTCAGTATGGGCTGATTTTGGAGGATTGAGGCTGAATGGCGTTTGAAGAAGAGGAGGATTTTGGAGGATTGAGGCTGAATGCATATTGAGGGTCAGGTCGGAGGATTTTGAAGGATTGAGGCATATATCCTTCATTTGAGCATAAGTACAACACATTTGAGGATTTTGGAGGATTGAAGATGGTTCCTGCAGAAAAGGGGTAGGGTTAAGGCATGTACATTGTAAGGCATGCCTGATAAGACCACTGAAATCTTTCCATGCAGTTTTATAAATAAATGTACATGTGCAAATTGAAGGTAATTTGGAATTTTATTTCAATTGTTTACATTAGATTTATTCCAGTGATAAATTAAATTCTTCATAATTTGGGGGGGGGGGGAAGCTGAATTTAGATTATATGAATGATATAATTGCAATGACACAGTAACTGTCCTAGATTGAATTTTTACAGCAACAAACATTTTATGTCCACATTTGTACTTATTTTAAAACAAAGCATTTTTCCTTGTCCTTAATTATTTTGTTTCAATTTTCAACATGTGATACACTTCACACTAATAAATATTTCAAGACTAATTGAATTCATTGTTCCAGTATTGGTTTCCAAACGCACATAGAATTCTGGTTTCGGTTTTGATGACGTCAATGCATCTGGTGATGTTCTAAATTCAGAAATCTGGTTTTATAATTTGTTTCAGTTACGCTCAATGTGCCGTGTATCACATTTCATATTTTCTGTGAAAAAAAATAAAATGAAAGATTACTATTAGCACCCCGGTAAGACGATTGAGCAACGACGATTTCAAGCAACACTTGAAATTATGTGGACATTATAATTGCATGCACGTGGGTATGTGTAATGTACAAGTGAACTGCACAGACCTACGTGTAACACAACAGGTTCAGTGGAAAAAAAGTCGCAGATGACAGTATAAACAAGATGGGGTCAAATTCCACTTTTATTGACTACCCCCAGCAAAATATGGTCTAAAAAGCATGCCCTGATGTTTAGAGTTGTGTGTTTGCACTAGGCAAGTTATAATGTGTAATTGTGCCATTGACCTCACAGAAAGAAAGAATTTGTTTGTGGGTCATGTGGGTAGGCAGTGCACAGTACAAAAAGTTGCTGGAGCACAGATCACAGAATAAACAAGATGGGGTCAAATTCCACTTTTATTGACTACCCCCAGCAAAATATGGTCTAAAAAGCATGCCCTGATGTTTAGAGTTGTGTGTTTGCACTAGGCAAGTTATAATGTGTAATTGTGCCATTGACCTCACAGAAAAAAAGAATTTGTTTGTGGGTCATGTGGGTAGGCAGTGCACAATACAAAAAGTTGCTGGAGCACAGCCATTTTTGTGTGGACACATAGGGCCTATGGTACACATATACATTTTGTAATGTCTGCCACGTCACCAAAAGCCCCCCCCCTCCACTACCCCCCCCCCTCCACTAACCCCCCCCCCAAAAAAAAACCCCTTGCAAAACCCCCACAATTGTGGACATTTTTGATGCTGAAGCAGCTAAAACACTGAAGTTTCTGCCTAAAATGACATCACAGTTTTGCTCATGAATATGGACATTTGCATGAGCAGCATACCCAAAAGAGGCATCAAAACACCCTTGAAAATGGCAATATGAAGATTGAAAATATAAATAAAAATGGGACTTAAAGGTGCATTAGAGTCTGCAATGAAAAACATATATTTTACATGGGCCCTTTAAAACTAATTTAAATACTTTCTCTTCCTAAGTAATCCAGGGTAATTATAATCATAATAATAATTAAACCTGGATTTGGGAGACATCCCCATAGACTTGTGCACAAAAATTTTCAAACTTAGATGTGCCCTAACCCAATATTCCCTTGTCCTTTTTCTACGAATTTCGGGATGTTTACTAATTAGACCACGAGCAACAAATATAATCTAATTGCGACATACAATTTTGCCTCTAAAGGGGCTGTGACATTAGGGAGGCATGAAAATGTCTCCCTAATGACCGATGTCTCCCATCGTGCGAAGATATTACGATAACGTGTCTCCTTAATGGTACCATCACACGTATAATTATAATAATACAAAATTTATAATGCATCTTAACATTCCTGCTATCTGAACAGTCACAGACAGTCAAAAAACCTCTTCCCCCGCCTTGCCTTTTACACAGGCTAGTCACCAACAGTCAGATCATATTTCAAGCAAGCACTGTGGCTAGTCAAATTCAGTCAACAGACAAAAGCAGACTAGTGGTAGGCACAGCTGGCTTATCAATCACCTACAGTCAAAGCATAGCTGTGTCAAATTACATAAATAGTCAAAGCCAGTCAATCCTGCTTTATGTAGGGCTGGGAGCTCTTAACTGTTGAGAACAGTCACTTGATTGATTTTGACTGAAAAGACAACTTGGCACAGAATGTTTGTTTACATAGAAGGGTTGTAAGTAATCATTAACCCTAACCCCCTCAAGGCTTTTTTGTGGGTCAAGGACCAAATACCACAGAATAGGACATGTGTTGTGCACACTTGTATGGAAAGAAATGCATACAACAGGTAATGCATACTCAGTAGTATTTTGTAGTATTAGGGAGGGATTAATAAAAAAGGCACTTCATATCATGTAACTTAAAATGTGCTTGCAGGACGACACACGACTATGCCAATCAAATGTAGAGTAAATAAGTACATCAAGTAAAGAATCAGTTTTGGGCACATGTGACTGCAGTGTAATGCTACATGTAATAGACATGTCTCTCTTCACTTTCTAGTGAGTGAGGCATAGTCCAATAAGCATAGTTCCTCTTCTTATTTCTTGTTTTTTATTGTGGGATGGTCTGTTGAAACAAGCACTTACCGGTAGCTATCCCCATGGGAAATTCTGCTTGTTTTCATTGGGGTGCGCCTTAATGTGAAAAGGTCATAAAATTTTTTTTTTTTTTTTTTTTTTTTTTAAATCATCCAAATATGGTAAATGGTCACAAAATGTGAGATATATCCCGTTGTAATTTCACCCTTTATGTGCGGAATTTCTGCTCCTTGCAGGGTTTAGGGAGTGAGCCGTGCTACTACTACATGCAAATGGGCGTGTCTTACTGGCAGGAACAAGATGTCCAATCTCTCAGCACACACTCACGAACGACAGTCCAGCTGTCGTCGGAAACAAATGAGACAACGGCCTTCTACAGGTAACTCTAAGTCTCAAAACTTTAAATTTCTGGACCTGCTTAGCAAGAAAGCCATGTCCGAATTAAGTGGCTGTGGTTTGAAATTGCACACAAGTCTATGGTAGCGGCTGCAGCCACTTTCCATAGTCTGGTGTGCAACTTCAAGCTGTAGCCAAGTAATTCGGACACGGCCAAAGACGCTTGGCAAATTTATGTGCTTAGTCGAAATTAGCTGAGTACCGATCAAAAAGCAGTGTACATTGTGTTACATTTTGGCCGGTCACCCGTTTTGGCTTAGCAAAAAGTTTCTATGCTTAGCATGTTTCTGTGCTTTTTTTTTTTTTCTAGGCAAGTTGTTATGTCTTTGTACAACCAGTTTTAGCAATGTAATAAATAACTGATGTAGGGTCCAATCATATGATGACAGAGTACCACATGACCATCCATTGTCCCCTTGGTCGGCCGCCATTGCAGTAGGCAAGCGTTTGGTTAGCAACCACGTCGCGCTTTGTAAACTAGAGAGTAGGGCTTAGTTTCATGTAAAATAACCGCAAATTCTTTATCAAAATGGCATACCTTTGCCATGTACAGTTGCGGCGTTTCTCTCGCAGTTTTTGCCATCCATCACAGCTTTCAAGGCTTGCCTACTACCAACCTCGTGCCCCGTGGCTACGATCTTGCAGCGCCATGTTGTTTCCCATCATGTCTTGCGCGATCGTAACCCCTGGAATTGTGTAATTTAAATATATACCAAAATACGGTACATTATAATTAGGGTTGCAGTTTATCCGTTTTACGTGCCGACGCCATCTTTAAAATGTTAAAAGTTGTGATTTTGAAGAATCAATCCTTTCAAACACTACGTTTGGACGTTGTGTTAATTAGCAAAGATTTGTATTAAATGTACGTACCCCTTTCGTGCCTTTACAACCACAGATACAGGGTTTTTTTTTTAGCGAAAAACCCGGCTGACATAATCCATAGCGTACAGGCATCGCGACTTTTGAATCATAATTTTTTTTTTTGTGCGTGACGTTACGTGCAAAGCTAAGCACGCGAACGCGAGCGCATTATAGGCGCGCCCGGCATGCAATTTTCGAAATGCCCGCGCAGTACCCTGTGAATAGCCATTCAGCGTCATTTACGTCATCATCACAGCCAGGGGTTAGTGTAAGGAACGAGCACGCGCCCCTGTAGTCGAGGCTTGCCTACTACCTACTGCGCGTGGGGGTATATGATCCCTGCCTACTACAATGGTGACGCTGACTTTCCAGTACCCTGATGTAGGCCGGGTCACATGGGTCAGTGAGAAAGTCGCATACACAGTAGAAGCAGTTACGTCATAGGCCGGCCGGGGTCACGTGTTGCTGGGGATGATGTTTCCACACAAACGTGGAATTACGTTGTGATAGCACGGTGCCCAGTTTTGCGTAGATTTTTCATCCGTTAGAGAAAAAAAATAAAGGAATCTGTCACGTTTTGAGTGATAACTGCAGTCAGCTACAAAGCTTACTGGTATTTATTCTTAAAGAGGTTGTGGAATGCTCGAAGACATTTCCGTCATTTTTCGGGTATATGTAGCCTAAGGTGTGATGAAATAAAAACGACTATTGTTTCTGTCACAAAAGGTACTTTTGAGAGCTGTTTTTCAAGTCCTGTCATGCCTGTTTCGACCCGAACGTGCAATTTGTGCAAAAGTCGTCGTTGCGGGCAGCAAACAAAACACAGTAAATCGTGACGTAATAAACAGGACTCCCGATGCAGAGTAGCATAAACGAGTCCTGTTTATTACGTCACGATTTTAATACTGTGTTTTGTTTGCTGCCCGCAACGACGACTTTTACACAAATTGCACGTTCGGGTCGAAACAGGACCTGAAAAATAGCTCTCAAAAGTACCCTTTGTACTCATTTCATGACAGAAACCATAGTCGTTTTTATTTCATCACACCTTAGGCTACATATACCCAAAAAATGACGGAAATGTTTTCGAGCATTCCACAACCTCTTTAATGTCTGAGCTAGGTCAACAAGAAAATGTTCACCTACGTCGCTGGTGCAAATCCTATGGTAAGAATGGCGGACGAGACAATGTTTGGGCACATCGCTATTGGCGACGACTCTGCATGACGTCACACTTCTACGACGTATTGGGCGCACCTTAAAAAAACGACCTACTACAAACCCTGATAAACAATAATGAACCCAGTGTCATAACTGCATGGTGGCTGTTTTTTTCTGCAATTATTCTGTAATTAAGTTAAATGGGTTTTGTTTTGTTTTAAATCTCTGTACATTGCAGGTTCTACGTTTCACCTTTGACCAAAACCCTGACCTTCTCCTATCAAGATTGCCAGGTCGGGTCAGAGGTCAATGGAACTGAGGTCAACGAAACCTGCCCTGTAGAGTTCAGAGCCAGGGCCAACGGTCTGCCCAATGTGAGATACTCGCCGCCGGTACTCTGCGACTTCAACGCTTCGTGTTCGTTACAAATCGGGGAACCGCTGGCAGACACCTGGTACTACGTCCGTATAGATTTGTTGTCGTTGGACGGACCGTCTATGGTGAACTTGAGTTTCGGAGTTGCGGAACAGAGTAAGTTGGTTTTCCTAAAGGTACATTCCTATTTTCAATGAATAATTAATAACATAGAAATTAGTGTAGCATTTTATAACTGCCAATAATATTGCCCAGTTGCCAAAAATCTAAAAGATGGACTGTATTTGTTTATTGACTGCTTCAGTAAAGACATATTTAGGCCATTAATGTAGTCTTGCCATATTTACAATTTTGTACAAAAAAGTTGGTCGACTTCTTTATTTTTAATTGCTTGCATGTTACAAATTCTGTTTTTTTTTCCTTTCAGAGTGCTCAGAGGAAAACGTCCAATTTCACAGCGTGTCCCACGAGAACATGAATTTCCAAACTTTGCTAGTGAGCCCGAATTCCAGCCTCACTTACTCCCAGTGGAACAGTTCCGATAACCCCTCAGCGTCCCTTCATCCAGCCTCCGACGAAAGCGACCCCGAACTGGACCCCTACTACCCTCCCGAAACGTTGGCTTCCTTGCCCCCTTCGGACTATCTGCCCATGACTTCCCAGAATCCTTTTGTATCCCCAGCCTGGTGCCCCCCGATTGTACCCTTGTCCTCGGTTCAGTACGGGGGCGCCAATCCCTTCAAGAGGTTCATCCAGAACACCCCTATCATGCCTAACACCACCGACGGCGTGATGGTTCCTCCTGAGGTCCCGGTCATCGCGAGCTTTGAGTTGGATCTGCTGCAGGACATCGGAGGCAACTTGGTGATCAAAGCGAACATCAACGAGAACATGGTTCGTTTGGTTTTCATAATTTTTTTAAAAAGAGTTCATGATTTGTGTGTCTTTTTGTTGTTGTCTGGAGAACCCTATGGGTAGTCTGAGTAAAAAAAAAAAATTCGGTCTCTGGTCAGACCAAAGTTCCGGAATTGAAGCGGCCACGCGGCTTTTTTTTTTTTTTTTTGCTTTTTTTTTTTTCTTCAAGCTTGGATTGTACAGACAAGGTGGGGTACTATTTTGCTTTTTTGGTGTCCTCATGTACATTGGTGTCCTCCATAATTTACTTTGGTGCTCTGATCATTTGCCTTGGTGCAATTTCCCATTCCTTGGTGCTCTTTGGTAAAAAAAATTGAGGAGGTGCGGAAATAGAGGGCGCTGTTGGAGCTACCGCGGAACATTTTGGAGAAAAAAAAAGATCGACGCGCATGATTAAAATCGACGCGCACGGTGACCAGAGACCGACTTATTATTTTTTTTGGCCTAACATCCGTTGTTCAACGGAGCCCGCATGCTACCTCCGCAACAACGTCTGATATATGTGTGCAATGCAAATTTATGGGACCTCTTTCGCCAGGCAATCGGAGTCGACTTTAGAAATTGTGACGTCATTTCATGCAGAAATGTGAACTAATCTGTTGAGTGGGCAATTTGGCTGACATGTTTTTGGTACACAACAGGTTACGAAAGACCTGATAGAAGGCGCCCGCTGAATGGTCAGAATCTTGAGGTCAAGACGCAGTCTTGTTTTGCATTTTTAATCACTAAATCTGTTCGCATATATCATAAAGACCCTTGCTGTGCAAGGGAATATACCATAGACTATTCCATTAGAAATTGTGACGTCATTTCGTGCAGAAATGTGAGCTAAGCTGTCCAGTGGTCAATTTGGCCGACATGTTTTTGTAACACAACAGCGGGTTATGAAAGACCGGATAGAAGGCGCCTGCTGAATGGTCAGAATCTCGAGGTCACGATGCAGTCTTGTTTTGCATAATTAATCACCGAATCTGCTCGCAAATCATAGACCCTTGCTGTGCATGCAATTTCACAGGCAAGGTAGTTCTACACAAGATACAATAGAGTCATTCTTGCTCCCCTTTTCATCACTTTTTTAAAAGTCGATTAGGTGTTGGCATATTATTAGATTTTGTGAATAAGTTATTTTTTATTAAAACTACCCACGTATCAGAAATCTTTTCAAATCTGTTTCTACAGCGGTTTTCTTCCTTGAAACTATAACTGTAGGCCGACACTCGTCTTAAACGAGAAGACATTGCAGTGATTTCCAAGCGATATACAGATTAACACACATTAATGGGATAAGACGACCCTACTGATCTTAAGTTAAGACGAGTTCAGCTGCATTGCTAAGGAAGTTAAGACGTGTTGAATGCGTCTTAAGTTTGGTGAAAATCGATCCTAGGACGAGTCGTGAGTTAAGATGAGTTACCCTACCTAAAATGCATCTTAGCGTTTAGTGAAATCGGCCCGAGAATTCCTTTATTTTGTGTAATATCTCATCAGTTTTTGAGCTCAACTTGCACACTCTATTAATTGATGTAAATTGGCTCACAATATAGTTAAAATTTTTATTTCCTCGGATAACTTTCATTTGAAACGTCTTATTTTGCAGGATTCCCAGGAGGAATATGAGGAACAAGCTTCCATCACCCTCTGTCTGCGTCGGGGCGCTATACCACCCCTCAACGGGACACAGATATCCTGCGATCCAAATTACAGCGTGACATTTACCAAGGAGACTGCCTTGTTTACATTTCCCTGGATCGTACCATTCCCTGCACCAGGGGTGTGGTACCTGTCATTAGAGTCACAGTGCAAGTCCAACGCAAGGTAAATAAAACCTTGATTGGATTGCTTTAGGTTCGTTGAAAGTTTCTTAACTTCTGTTACCCCTTTCTCCCTTTAAACCTCCAGCTATTTAAAGGTATAGTCCATCATTTGTAATTTCTGCATTTTGTCCGTTTGAAGCAACAAAAGTGCTCAAAATGTAAAGAAGGGTGCTGAACAACTAATCGATGAAGTTTCAGCTCAGCTTCAGCTGTATATTCCGAGAAAAACAGGATCTCGATTTCAAATCAAAAGTTGATGAATCATGTTTAGAATTGGGCCTGAATTCAGCGTCGAGACACGTTCTCACTGAGCAGCTACGCGATGTTGCGCACCGATCCGACGAATTATAGCATCCCCGCCCGTGTGTGCGTCGTGCCAAAGCTTGCGCGCGCTTCGCCAATTTAAAAAAAACGAACTACTAACAGAAATTTCCAACGGAGCATCTTAAGACGCGCTGTTGGAAAGGCCTTCTATCGTTGATTGCTTCAAAACGACAGCTTGCCAGAAAGAATAATTTCACAGGGAGTTTAGTCCCCTTACTATCTTTCAACCAAGTATGTTTTTCAACAATAATTGCGTCAGTTACTTTTTGGATAGCTGCAAATGATGGACTGTAGCTTTAAGCAGTCACAGACAGTCAAAATTCTTGTCCACTTCCCCTGCTATACTTTTGTCAAAGGCAGTGATGGACTTGTATTTACTCATGACTGGAATTGTGACTGGACTTGTGGTGGACTTGTGATTTACTTTTGACAAGACTTGCGACAGGTTCAATTGCAACGTAGAATTCTTTTTCTCTTGCAGCAAACTGGAGCCTTGTATTGACACTACCTATGTCGGTCTGGACATCGGTATGTTTGGCTGTATTGATGGCTGCGGTGAATATGGCAAATGCCACAGCTCCATTGACATGGGCATTATATACTACTACTGCGCATGCAAACGAGGTAATACGCCCCCTCTCTCCCACAGTCTCCGCCCCTCCCCTTCCCTAGCACCCTAGTGTACATCATTCCATATTATACATTACTAGTTTGTCAACTTCCAGTGCCGTGGGGAGCTAATATACAAATAGTGACTACTTTGAGTGGTACAGTAAAAGCATTCTATTTTCCCAAGACAAAGCCGTGGGAAAACATCGTGCTCCATGGATCACTTAAGGAGGATAGTTTTACTATACCACGAGTTGAAGCAGTCGATATTTGTTTTATAACTCTTCTCCCACAGATTCGGCTTTAAGAGAAAACTGATTAATTAACAATTAAAATGAATTTTAATTTACTTGTGAAATTTACTTGAACTTTTCCAAACCACCCCTTCACGAAATGTTTGAACCCAAGTCTGTATTGCTAGCGCTTGGGAACAAGACACGCAACGCGCACACCCGTATGTATTTGCGCACAATACTGGTTGCTGTGATGGCTATAAGTATGTCTTTTTGGCTATGCACAGCAAAAAGGCTCTCGGCCAATCGAGATACAGAATGTGTGGGTGAGGTGTTCTAATATCGACTATCCACCCCGATAAACCCTGTTATATTTGTCTTACTATACCTGGATCATGAATATGTGTGCGGTATAGCAATCTTGCATTGCCAATGTTGCTAGCATCATAACTTTGGGTGTGATCCCTGGCCTGGGGAATAGGGCTTCTGACTAGCGCCCCATGAACAAAGACATTGACAAATTGGGAGACCTCTGTAGGGCTGGATAGCTCAGTTGCTAGAGCACCGGAACGGTAATCCGGAGGTCGCAGGCTCAAACCCCGCTCCAGTTAATTTCGATGTTCAACCTTATCTTGCAGTTTGAGATAATCATTATGAGTTTTAAATTTGAGATAAAACACACAAAAAGTTACCAAAGTAGGTTTAGAACCCTGGACCCCGAAAATGCCATACGGATGCTCAACCAACTGAGCTAGTCAGTTCTGCAACTTGTACTCCCCTCCCCCTCCCCCTCCTCCCCAAATGCAGGTATTTACAAATCAGGAGACAGTCAACAAAGGACTGAAAAGCTTAGTTGGTAGAACACCAGTATGGCATTCCAGTGGTCCGAGGTTCGAACACGTGAACAAAATATTCAAATAAGTACATGCTTGAAAATGGCTCCTCCCCATTTTTCCTACAGGATATCGAGGCTGGGCTTGCACGGATGATTCCGAGGCGTGGTCGCAAGCCTACTTCCTGAGCAGGCTCCTACTGCTCACGCTCAGTAACACCTTCTTCATCTTTCCGTGCCTGCTGGCCCTGAAGCGCCGCCATTTTGTTCCGGCCATCGCGTACTTTTGTACGCTGATCTTTTCGTCGGTGAGTTTGATGAACGCTGGAGCTTTCTGGCTGGTTTGGGAGGGTCCAGCCCACTGATCTCTATATAAAGACTGGATAGCGGATATGCATACAACATTCACACAGTAGACTTTGCATATTGACCAATTCGCCCCCGGTCTCACGAAGATGGCCGCTTATATACTAACGTTCTACGCGTAAATACGCGCGCGTTGTATCAACAGTTGACGCGCATTTTGGTCACGTACACATATTATGATGTTCTAAAAAGGACACATTTCCGTAGTGACTATTATTTCAAAAACGCTGAAAAAGTGATTTGTGGCATTATAAAAGTAACCACGACGTTAGAAAATTGTAGTAAACCTTGGTCAGTTGGTCAGTGGTGGTGGCCAAAATATAAGTCCAGTGAACCGCGACGTTACAAAAGAAATCATGCTGTCTATAAAGACGGCAACTTGTCCTTTGTAGATCACCAGCCGGTCTCACCAATATGGCGTCAAATTCGTACATTGTGCGGCTCTTTATTAGCTATCCAGTCTTTATATAGAGATCAGTGGTCCAGCCTAGTGTCCACTTTGTACCTCTTGTGACTTAAGACGTCCTCACTTGTGACTGTAGCAAGGAATAAATACAACGCATTACAATGAAGTACAAGTGCTAATGGGTTGTGTCTCAGATATGACATTTTTAAATTTCAATACCTGGTACATGTACTTTGTATATACTACGTGAAATTGGTGATACATTGTTGCTTGAACCTTAAATGTGATGGACTTGTGATTGGCTTGTGATTGACTTGTGATTGACTTGTGATTGACTTGTGATTGGCTTGTGATTTACTTGTGGTTGACTTGTGATTGACTTGTGTTTGACTTGTGGTTGACTTGTGATTGACTTGTGATTGACTTGTGATTGACTTGTGGGTGACTTTTGATTGACTTTTGATTGACTTGTGTTTGACTAGTGATTGACCTGTGATTGACATGTGTTTGACTTGTGTTTGACTTGTGATTGACTTGTCGTTGACATGTGGTTGACTTGTTGTTGACTTTTGATTGACTTGTGATTGACTTGTGATTTGACTGGTGATTGACTTGTGATTGGCTTGTGATTGACTTGTGATTGACTTGTGATTGACTTGTGATTGGCTTGTGATTGCCTTGTGATTGACTAGTGATTAACTTGTGATTGACTTGTGATTGACATGTGGTTTGACTTGTGATTGAAATGTGGTTGACATGTGTTTGACTTGTGTTTGAATTGTGATTGACTTGTGGTTGACTTGTGATTGACTTGTGATTTGACTTGTGATGGACAAAACTGAAAGACAATTTTGGAGGATTTGGGAAGATTTCTGGCAAGAATGCTTTAAAATTAACAACCAGTTTTGTTCTCCTCCTTTTCTCAGTTCTACCATTCCTGTGACTCTGGTAGTCTGTGCATCATGTCCTTCAACACCTTGCAGTTCTGCGATTTCTTCGCGGCGTTCATGGCCATCTTCCTGACCTTGATCACCATGGCCAAACTGCCGGCGCCGCTCAAACAATCACTGGAGATACTAGGTCAGTCAGTTGTTGGTTTGCTAGTTTGTTTTTTTTTGCTTCTACGTTAGTTTTATTTGTACAGTATTTGCAAAAACAAAGTCATTTTTTTTCCAACACTGTTCGGTCGACCATCGTTGGAAATTAAAACCAAAATTACCCATTTCTTGAAAATGACAGCACACCAGGTGCCATGATTTCACAGGACGCTTGAGACTATTTTTCACTTACAGTCCAGTAAGGTAGTTCATAATAACTTGGTAATTTTGTTTTTTGATGTTTGCAAATGTGGTATACATGTATTTCCTTTAACACAGAGAGAAGACATTTTGTAAAAAGTCTTTGGACGGTGTAATTCCTGCTTTAACCCAGTGGATCATGGGTAATGTTGACATCCGTGGTTTCTGTTTCAGGTGCATTTGGCATGGCCTTGGGAACCACCTACAACCGGTTCAGCTTATGGGCTGCTGCCGTTCCAGTGGGTGTAGGGCTGACCGTCCTGCTTATATCATGGGTGAGTCTTTGGTTAAAAAAAATCAGAGTTTAACTTCACTTATACAAAGTACCGGTACCTTATGAAAAAAGTGTATGCAACCCATGCGTCAAGTTAAAGTTTGCGATTGAATTAGAATTGTCTTGTGATGGACTCGTGATTGACTTGTGATTGTCATGTGGTTGACTTGTGACTAAACCTGAGATTGAATTGTGATTGTCATATGGTTGACTTGTGCAAGGGTGGATGCAGAACACATTTTTGGGGGGCAAAAAACAAAATTTGGTCCCCCAAAAAGTGGGGGAAAAAAATTACGGGGAGGGGTTCGGGGCCCATTTAAGGGCACCAAATTTTTTTTGGATTCTAGATGCTCTGTGGTGCGATCTGAGGCAATTTTTGACCACTTTATCCAATTTTGTTTTTAGGAAAAGATAGTGGTGTACCCAGAGCCTGCTTTATTGCAACGTCACTTAAAAAAAAAATGGATTTTTTTTTTTTGGGGGGGGGGGAGGGTCCAGTGCCCCTGTATGGCCCCCGTTGCCCCCCCCCCCCCTGGATCCGCCATTGGACTTGTGATTTACCTGAGATTGACTTGTGACTGAATTGTGAATGCCATGTGATTGACTTGTGACTGCCATGTGATTGACTTGTGACTGTCATGTGATTGACTTGTGACTGCCATGTGATTGACTTGTGATTGTCATGTGATTGACTTGTGACTGTCATGTGATTGACTTGTGATTGTCATGTGATTGACTTGTGATTGACTTCACGTTTCCTTTTTTTCCCCGATTCTAGTCACGTCGTTGGTATAAGCGTCGGCGTTGCTACCCAACCACCAAGTGGCGCTGGCTGCTCTTCATCCTGCCCGGCGCCGCCGTCATCATCACCGGTCTCTGCCTCTTCGCCTTCCTGGAGACCAGCGACAACTACCAGTACGTGCACAGCGCCTGGCACGTGGCCATGGCCATCGGCGTGCTGTTCCTGCTGCCGCCCCGAGAAAGTAATGATAAGCAACACTACACTCACATGTCCGAACTGGTCGACATAAACACACTGAACTCGGAGCTAGTCATGCACGATGACCCCGGCTACTGACCCCCTGAACTTTGACCTTTGAATCTGACCTCTGACTTCGTTCAGGACGGCCTTACAAACCCGACGCTTATTGAAAGAGGGAAAAACGGGAACTAATGTGTGCCTGCATTGTAAATATGTAAAGCAATTGTGAAAGAAAAAGTAGAGATGTACAATTTACTCAGTTTAATTTTAGACGCAATGATGTACTTAATTTTCTTTCTTTTTTTAAACAAAATGGTTACCTCGTTTGAAAGTTTAAGTCCAGATTTTTTATATAAACTGCCACTCTGTGTGATTGTTTATGTACGCAATTTGCAGTATTGAGTGCAATATTCCAGCTGCCGTCACCACGGGTTACTGTAGACGTGACTGGCTGTTCCGATTCCAGTGTGGTTATGTCAGTCAGTGGGCTGTTCCGTTTTGCATGCCTTCATTGTTTTTGACACTGGACTGAGGGTGGTGGATTGGAGGGGCAACGTAGTGTGCCAGATATGTTGCTTTTTTTAATATGGTCGTAAATCGGAGAAAGTAAGTTCCCTCTCCTATAGGCTAATTCGGCGACGGCCAGTTTGTGATGAGGAACCAGCACCCGATTTCACTAAACGATGCGACGCGTCGCAACTCGAGTTACGACATGTAACACGTCGCAATCCATTTCAATCCATCATCTTACAATCCATTTCACGAAACATGCGATGAGTTGAACGCGTCGTAAGTTCCTTGACAACGACGTGTCTAGTGGTCATCGCAAAATAAGAAGAGTCCTTTTCGTAGCCAGTTTTATGCCATAAACATTACATAATTGAGATTACAATACCGAGGCAATGTGTGTAAAATTGTAAATACATGTAGAAAATGCATGGAATAATTATGAATTAGCCTATAATATTGCAGTTGAAATTTCAAAGTAGCTATACAGTCCACCGAGAGCTTGTGTCCTAAAAAATTGCAACTCACGGCCGCCATTTTATTTTACGTTTTAACAAATTTTGGGCGAGATCCGATGACTCTTTGTCGAATATCAGACGACTATTTACTGTACGCTGACTAAATACATAAAACAGTCACCGAGTTGTGCTATAAATACACCTACGACGCGTCGCACTTACGACGTGTTTTGTGAAATGGATCGCAGGACGCAGGGATGCGACGCGTCGCATCACTGCTTTGCATCGTAAGTTACGATGAGTTTTATGAAATCGGGCGCTGGCTCACGCGAGTGGCGCTCAGAAAGTATGCACGCACTCTGGGTTTATTGACCAATAGTGTTACCAAATGCACGGGCGCCTCGACTTTAAGAAAGCGTGTGGCATGCGCGCAAACGTGGTTCCACTTCGAAAGTGGCTTCTAGTTTTGTTCACCGAATTAGTCTACACATGCATGACCACCCGTTCAGTCCGTTGTGTTTTTGTTAATGCTTCTAATAATTTCGGTGATCGCTCTTCCGCCCAGCACATATGCAAACACAATTCGCAGCAATCATTGAATTTTTTTATTATTTTACCATCACAGCAGAATTGCATGAGAGCAAATGATTGAAACGAATCAATAGGCAGTGCGCATTATGCGCATTGAATCAATTTAGGGTCTAGACCATTTTCTGATTATTTTTAATTCATCGTTTTAAAAAAAAAATTACATTGCAAAAATTTTCATTTTTAATTTTTTTTCAATAGCTTTTAAAAATCCATTTGTATGTATATATGTGCACCAAATATATTTTTGCACAATTATATAGTTGGTGAATTTGTAAAACTGTCTTTCTTTTTAACAAAAATCTTTCACTTAATATGAGCCGATTAAATTATGTATTTTTAAATTATTTACGGCCGTGATACTGATGCGCGTTTTGTGTTTTTTTTTCTTTGTATTTTGTTTGCATTTTACTTTTTTTTGTGTTATTTTTTTTGTTGCAGAGCCTGATTTCCATGGTTACAGTCATGTGATCAGGGGTCAAAGTCAAGATGACCCGCTCGATCTCTGATGTCCATAGCCCAGACCACTGCATGTTAGCTTCATTCATGAACTTTCTTACGAACCATCTCGCCTATTATTAGCCCCATAAATGTGGCCTATTTACTGGACTGCCTCCGTAAACATAGGCCACACATCCACATGTACAAAAACGTGTCGACTTTGCAAAATTTAGATTTTCACATTTAGGCTTACTTTGTAGGTTTTTTTTTGCTTAAGAAGCATTCTCACCCTCTATATAGGCTAACCAGAAAGTGCTGCCTTTTTCAGATGTCTAATTTTTGTGAAATTTCATGTTGAAATTTTGATACGCAAACGTGTGCAAATGTATCTGGAAATTTCACGAAAAATTGATATCTGAAAAAGGCAGCACTTTCTGATTAGCCTATATAGAGGGTGAGAATGCTTCTAAAGCAAAAAAACCTGCAAAGTAAGCCTAAATGTGAAAACCAAAATTTGGCAAAGTCGACACATTTTTGTACATGTGGATGTGTGGCCTATGTTTACAGAGGCAGTCCAGTAAATAGGCCACATTTATGGGGCTAACCCATTATGTGCTAACAACTCTTAGGGGTGTGTGACGTGCGTGGCGTTTTGAACACTTGTCCCGGCGATTGCAGGGAGACAAAGCTGGGCATGCCATGCATACTCACAGGTTTTCAAATTCCAATATCGCACAACCAGTCAAGAATTGTTTTGATATGTTGTAGAAATTAAATGTGTGTGAAAAACTAATTGATTTACTGCAAACAAGCTGTGTTTACTTTGAACGTGTATATGCCAAACGGCCTGCCATTTTGACCATTCAGATAAAAGAAGTTGGGCAGTTTCCTCGAAAAGTCATATTTTCTCGCTGCAGGCCCAGCTAGCTTTCAGCGTCACATGACTGTTTTAGACCAATTAAATCACATTATCTAGTGAGACATGATATACATAACAAGTTTCATTGCATGATACACTCGTTTTTGGTTATGGTTTTGCTTTTGTTGATAACAACTTTTTTTTGTATTTATTTAGAATTATTAACAGCTCATCTGAATGCACTGAGAAAGATTCTCCAATTTCTGTGACTAGTGTGAGAAATCATACCTGAACTGTCGTCTAGCTTTGCAAGCAACCATTTTCATGCTCTTGACCAAACATAAATATCAACTCTAAGGCCCGTTCTAGATGCTGTGTTTCTGCCGTGCAAAACTCAATTAATTTGACTTCTCTTAATTCGGCACGGCAATAGCACGACGTTTAGAACCATTTGGCTCGGGGAATTGAGTTTGGCACGGCACCATCCTTTGGCTTGACAGGGCAGCTGCGCTATCGTCACGCCGAACGGCAGTGGCGCGGCACTGTTCTCAATGCTGTGCCATTGACGTGGGGCAAACATTTTAGGGGAGTACCAAGGGGAGTGAAATTGGCGCCAGTATTTTAATCGCGCTGAAAGTTCATTGGACTGCTTGAACCTGGCCCCTTACTCCAGCAGATGCATCAAGGTTCGACTGTCAAGTTCGGCGTTTAGAGCAACTGCTGTGCTGTAGACGAGCTATTTCCGCACTCATGTCAATTAAGATCGGCGCGGCAGTAGCATGGCGTCTAGAACAGGCCTTACTCTTAAGTGTCCATTTGCTCAATTGTGAAGAGAAGTATTGAGGTAAACTGGCTTGCTCAAGGACACAACTTCATGACAGGGTTCAAACTTGGATGCTGTCCAGCTGTTCATGAATCCAAACATCTTTCCATGCTTTCGTTTCCTTTTTTTTCTCAGAGATATGCATAGGAATTTAAATAAAAACTCGCTATTTATTCGGCATGATTTTGACTGCTAATTTTTCCAGGAGTCAAAGGTGAGAGTGCAGAGTCGATTTTGCCCGTGGATAACAGTGCAACCTACACACGTGAAGTCGACGAACATGCCGACTTGTAGGTATTTCATGTAGTACTCGGGCTCACAAGGAACTGTACACCATTGTAAAAACAATGTTGACACCAAGTGGTCTCCCCAGCTAGCTCTCCCTGGCCTACTGTTGAGGGGGTACTTCAGCATGGAGCCCAGGGGACTTTTTTGACTCTGCATGGCCAAAAAGACAAGAGCAAAGAATGCAACATTGCTCGGAAAGAGAATTACTGTAGGCATAAACAACCAATGTAGCAAACGAAGTTCTGTATGCATAGTAAATAAACACGGCAAAAGCAGAAAGTCCACACTCACTGGATGGAGGGGTCATAATTTTGATTATATAACTGACATACAGATCCTAGTAATTTGATTGGTGGAACTCACATCACATGACATTCGTTATTGCTCCCATTCACACCGCGGCTCAAAAAGTATTACTATACCTCATACATATTCATGATCGAGAGCCGAACTCTCACTGGTCAATTCACCATCACGTGCAAGATGTTATTCTTGCTGTTTACCAAACGCGCGCGCGAGGATTCGCGCAAAGGGTAAATACGCATGCGTAGTAGACTGTCGCATGGTTTACCCGTGCGACAGTCTACTACGCATGCGCTTTACAGAGCAATCGAGGAACTGTCGCACGGCTGCAGTACGCACGCGCGAGCATCGCCCAGGAGAGATGCACGGTTGCACGGTTCGCGTAAATGTTAATTTCCAGAGCTCAATGATGCCATACTGGAGAAAATGTATGGACCGTGTAAATGTCTCCTGTACAAAAGAAAGTTGTACACAACAACTGTATTTACAACTGTAGTAACTGTATTATATTGCAAACGAACCGAACTAGTAATTGAAATTGAGCAACAATATTCTTTTGGTGAGCTGTACAAGTTTCCCCGAATTTTGTTTTAGGTGCATATATAAAAAAAAATCGACAACTGAATATGTATGAAGTATAGTAAAACAAATATAACATGGTTTATTTCGGGTGGACAGTCGATATTAGCTCCCCTCGGTATTGGAAGTTGACAAACTAGTTCCCTCGGCTTCGCCTCGGGAACTAGTTTGTCAACTTCCAATACCTCGGGGAGCCAATATCGACTGTCCACCCTCAAACCATGTTATATTTGTATACTATCCGCCCATGGGGAATGGGAAATATTATAACACCTCACCCACAGATTCTGTGTCTTGATTGGCCGAGAGCGAGTCACATGTTACTTTCTAATTTTGCTATCTTTCTGTGCACGGCCAAAAGTACTATGCGCATAGCAACCAAAGTACTATCCGGTTCGTTAGTGTGACGTCACCTCCAGCACTTTCTGCACGATTTGAACCGGAAGTTAACGCAGTTCGAGC